CGAAAAATTCCGGGTACCATATTTCAACGAAAATATCCAATTTTGACCGCCTTCGAAGGCTATTTAACGATGTTTTTGCGTGACATCTGTACCTAAAGACAGAATAAAGAACTCTTTTCCCTCAAACGAATTATAAAACTGACTTAAAATGGATTCAAAACAGATTTTTTTCGTGGCGTCTGTACGTACGGATGTATGAATATATATCGTATAACTCAAAAACGAATAGGCTCGGAGCGTTTAAATTTCGTAAAAAGGATTGCTATAACATGTAGATGTGCATCTCCCTTTTCAGTTGCAATCGGCTGCACCAAAAGTATATAAATATGTGTGTATATATATATATATAATATTTACTAAAGAAATCTTTGATATATTCTCTCCTAAGATCAATTAGAATAACTCGATTTCGCACTACTTGAATTTAAGATCTTACAACATATATATATATATATATATATATATAATATATATAATATATAATTAAAATAGAAAATTGAAAAGCTAATAAGTAAGTGTGGTAAGACCTATTTGGTCTTAAAAATTTTGCGCAAAATGCTGCAAAAAATATGAAATAATAGGAAGAAATATTGTAGAGAGCTCGCTAAAAGGTTACCAGGAGCTGTGGCTCCAAGAAATAGTTCAACGCAGTATTTTTTTTTAAGAAATATTAACATGGAAGTAATTTTAAAATATTAACATGGAAAGGTGAAAAAACAGCTTACACGCGAAATAAAATACAGAACAAAAAACTGTTAAAATCAATTGTTGGAAACATGTGAATGCACAAAAAAAAAAAAAAAAAAAAAAAAAAAGAGAGAGAGCAAAACCTATCGATGTGATATGTGTAAAGTTAATACTTATAAAAAACTGATCGACGGAACAAGTTCAAAAAATTAAAAACATAATAATAAACATAAATTGCAAAAAAAAATAAAATATAAAATTACAAGCGGAAAATGGTAAATTAGCCCAATTGGAACCTCCAACCAGCTTTTCAAGGGAAAATTAGTTGAATGTCGAATCAAGCTAACACCATTCGCGGTTCGCCTAAACAGACAATTGAAACTCTGTTTGACGAAAAAAAATTTTTTTAATAATATGAATTGTCTCGATATTTTAAAAATATCCATGTTAATATTTCTTAAAAAAAAATACTGCGTTGAACTATTTCTTGGAGCCACAGCTCCTGGTAACTTTTAGCGAGCTCTCTACAATCTTTCTTCCTATATATAGATATATATAATATATATACAGTGGTGGCCAAATGTGACACTTTGGAAATTTTTATTTTTTGAAGTTTGTTTATAGAAAACGTTACGTTTCCCAAAATGCAAACTGTATATATCATTTTAAAGAGAATTTATACTGAATTCAATACAAAACACAAATTCAATATTTGCAATACAAAAAAGTTAAACGATAATAGTTTTCGATATACATAGATAGTGATGATTGCAGTGAGTTATCAGTACTTAGTAGGTACCCTTTATTTTTATTACAGTTCACATCGACGTTTCATGAGCTGACAAGAGTTTAATCTCTTCTTCGTTATTCATGATTCCAGGAACAATTATAGACTCAATTAGTTCCCTTTTATTGATGGGCGCCTCATTCGGACAAGAGTTTTCAAACGGTGCCACAAATTTCGATAGGATTGAGTCAGGACTGTTTCCTGCCATGACAACAATTTAATGCTCTTTGTACGAAATCACACTTTCGAGTTTTGGCCGTGTTTAAGGAGCAGAATTCTGCTAAAATAAACGAAGCATTGTTGGAAAGAGATCTCTGATGGAAGGAGAAGTTTTGGTTCTAGAATAGTGTTCAATATTTTTCTGGAATTCAGGGTCCCATCGATGACATGAAGGCGACCAATACCATCTGCCGACATGCAACCAAATCAACACTAACTGGGTTCTTCACAGCTTGAATGCAGTCAGGATGTAGCTCTTCTCCTATTCTACGTCTACATATTTTCGCCATCACTACCGAATAACGATATCTTAGTTTCAATCACTCCATATAACTTGTACCACTGATCATCTGTCCAATTAATGTGCTCCTTTGCCCACTGTAGTCTTTTTTTTCCGTTGCTGAAAATTAAGATAAGCTTTTTTTCGTGGAATTCTACCTCCCAGTCCAACATCTGTTAATCTTCTCCTGATTGTTCTGAAACTGACAGAAAACACCAGCATCATTCAGATGATTCTGATGGCCGCTGATGACATTTTTTCTATCTTGGAGACATAGTCTTTTATTTCTCTGTCATCAATAGATGGGTTGCACCTTTTTTTTCGCCTTTTTTCTTCTTTTGTTTTTTATTAAATTTTCTCCTGATATCGTAAACAAAACTTTCGGACTCCAGATGTAGTCCTGAAAACCACCCACCTGTCTTGCAATTTCAGCATAGGAATACCACTTTCTCGTAACACAATAAATATTACATCTCTTTCTGGTGTCCAATCTACTCTTTCATTTGATGTCATTGTTTCTTGACTAAATATTAAAATTTTTACAAAAATTCCTATTGTAATTCAGTGTATAAGAAACAGGTCATCCTTCTACAAAACAAAGCAAAATAATGAATGTTTCAAGTATAAATGATCCAGCTTCTACTGGCAGGTACTACATTTGATTGGTTCTCAGAACAAGAACAGTGATTGGCCAGGAAAGCTAGACATTACAAACCACTTCATAAGTTGTTTTTTTATTTATGTTAAAGTACATATAACTTTTTTTCGTATTGCAAATAATTGAATTTTGTGTTTTGTATAGAATTCCGTAATAAATTCTCTTCAAAAAGATATATACAAGTTTGGATTTTGCGAAACGTAACATTTTCTATAAGCATACAAAGTTCAAAAACATAAAAAATTTCCAAAAGTGTCCACAATTTTGGCCACCACTGTATATGCTATGTTACTCGGCTCAGTGAGCTCAGTTTCTTTATTCTTACATGTTTGTAAACTGTGCATTTTTTGCTTTAAAAATGATTGAATAATGTTGTTCTTTTCTTCCGGCTAAGGTTTTTATGCCTTTAGTTAACCTGCATGTTATAGTTGTAAAATTATCAGCAATTCAAAAGTTGTTTAAGTGCGGCTAAGCCTATTTTTTTACCACAGCAGCCATATATGTTTACATTGAAACTTAGCAGAATAGTGGATTTGTTGCCAATCTAGAGAAACTAAGCTTCCCAACAACAAAGTAATGTTTTCTTTTATTACTGCGAATTAAATTATGCTTAATCCATCCTAGAATTATCATTTAAGTTATTAAAGTATCTCATATATTGGCTCAGTATAGCGTCCACAACAAATTAAGTCAGTTTCTACACCTTCAGTGTCTTTTTGCCAAGTAAGACCAAAAGTAAACTAATCTTCCAGTTTTGTGCACCGAAAAATTTGCCTTCTTGCCCGCTGGCCGAATAGCATTTTTTAAATTAGAAACTCTAATTTTAATTGTAGAAACATTTTTTTAATTGTTTTAACTGTATTTGGTGTTTTATGTTCTTCTAAAGCTTTCAATTTTTAATATAGGTATTTTGAGTTTTTATGTATTTTTGTCTGAATTGAATTAATTGAATAAGAAATTTATATCTAAAGAAATTCGAGGAAATAAGTTTAAATGAAATGCAGGAAAAATTGCGTATGATTTAATATTCCGTACAAGGAAATCATGTGGTGTACCCAGCAGATTTTTTTTTTTTTTTTTTTTTTTTTTTTTTTTTTTTTTAAGATTCCAGAACAAAGAGAAAGAAATTTAAAAAGAAAAATGAAATTTCAGAATTATGTTTAGTGCATATTGTAACAGAAAGTAAATCATCTTCTAAGGTAAGCCTCTTGATGTTCTCTCAATCCAGAATTTCGTCTTGCATACAAATATATTTATGTTCAAAATGTAACTTTTTCGAGTAATCTATGGTCTATAATTAACGCAATGTAAATGGTACATAGTGCTTTTTAAACTGCAACAAATATTACTCTCAGGACTGTAACTAGATGGCACCACTTACTTGATTCTTAAGCTTAATATTTAATATCTTTTACAAAACAAATTTCAGCTTTTGAAGAAAGCAGAATATTTTCCGTCCAAGGAGCTTATAATAACCTCATTGGTTCCGACAGCTCCACTCTAGACTATAAATATAAGAGACCAAAATCAATGTCCTATAACAATAATTGGCAATACTTTTCCCCTCTACACGAAGTCACTGGTATCTTTCAATATTTTTAAAGTGGTCTTGAAATTCAAATAATATCTCTCTGTCCAATGGGAAATATGCATTTCATCTTATAATTTCAGAACAGATAGAAACAAACAAAACAAAAAACAGCATTCTGTAATTTATTTAAAATAGCTGCTATGCTTCTCCCATATTAAAATATGCACTTCAATGTCTGCGCATTTTGGAATTAGCGAAAGTAATATTTTAAACTGAAGATTTATTTACTCGAGGTAAGGTCATCATATGCTTCCTCTTATTTACTCAAAGTACTCAGGTGTTGCACTAAAGAATCAACTGGAAATTTTTCTCTTCAGTCTCATTAGATTGATCTTTCATGCAAATTTATTATTCCTTTCAGTTATGAACTAAATTTTGCCAGTACATCATTTCTATACGCTTAATATCTTTCACAATCAAAGGCCCAAAAATTTTATAATACATTTTGATACATGTTAATAGCTGCAAAAGTGGCTCAGTACGCTCTACAAATCTGCAGTGAAATTACTGAGCTTATTTCCTCTTGATGTTTGGCAGCAGTGTACGAATACGTTTATTTTCTATGTTTCACTTTCATTTGCAAATGTAAATAAGCATTATATTTAATATTTTTATATATATTAGAAGATGTAACGGCAGCCTTTTTTTTAATTTACGGTAAGAAGCTAGTTTTTTTCTCTCAATACTCAAAATATGTCTTTTTCTGTTATTAAAAATGTTTCAAAATATGCGTAGTAAACAAGGCATTGCGCGCGCATACTGTTGTTAATGCGTTCCAACCCTTTTTGCATCATACTTACTGTTGATTAATAATCATATGCTATTTTACTGAAGCGTAAAAGATTATAAGATTTGGAGCAGTGAAAATGTATCACTAATGTGTAGCGATATCAAGAAATCCAGTGTCTCTGGAAATGTAAGAACAATTACGTTTTTATATTTTAAATGAGTTAGATAGTAAAGAAGTATTCGTTCTGTCTCACTAAAAACGTCGGGTACGCCTAGGAATATTTCATAATTTTACAGCATTAAATAAGATTTGTTTCAATAAACTTGAATTTTCAATTTAAGTTTGAGATTGTTAGAGATATTTAGGGTACTCTTTAGAAATGCAGGTGTAACCCCCACGTAAGTTCGTGATCAGGCTCGCTCAGTTATTGTACTGTTTCCAATAAGCTTTAAAAAAGGGTTGATAAATTGTGTAACTTATTGCTGTATTTAATCTGCTGTTTGATTTATGTTAAATAGTTGTCTATAATTCGTTTAAAATTTAATACGTATCCGATAATTTTGAAGTTTGAAAATGCTTCATTCACATTGTCATTGCATTGCGTGATTAATTTTTTATACGTATCTTTCATTAAAAAAAAAATGTGGATTCATTAGTAGATGCAACAGAATAATCTTGTCAGTAATTAAATTGTACAGTGTTTTTAATTTGAAATCATTTTAATTCTTGTGCAATAATTTTAAGAACTGAAAAACTGCAAAAAGGGTATAACTGATCATTAATTGTGTTATACAGTATTCTTCAATTGTTTGTGAATGTCTGTTTCGTACAAAATTATAAAATGTTAAAAAGAAATTGTGTAAGAATTTATTTAAGTAATATTAGTGATTCTGCTGTTGCTAATTAGTTTTGAATAGCTGAGCTATCAAGCTTCTTTAGACTAATTTTTATTAATCTGAATAGATCACACCTAATTTTGTAAAATTGCCCCCCTCCCTCCCCAGTACTTCAGGTCACAGTTTGTTTGTATTTGGTATTTATTTTATGTGAAGTGTAACTTTTATGCTGTGATTATGAAAAATTAAGTTTAGAATGTATCTAAAATGACTGAGACTGAATTAATGTGTTTGAAATTCACATACATGTGTATCCTAAGTAGTCATGGAAAGCCAATCAAATTGCATCAACACAACAAGTTCTACCTCTGTGCCACAGCTGTCATATTCCTGTTGCCCTATTATTTAGTACTAAAAATTTGTACTTTATGATTATGCACCCGTAAGAGAAATCTCTAAGTTACTAGTGACATTATCAATTGGAAACAAAGGCTTATTTGCCTATGTTTATTACCTACAGACAGTTTGTGTTCATAAATAATAATGAAAAGAAGCTTTCTTTAAGAAACAAGAAATTTCATGAGAAAAATTAAAATTATATTGTCAAAAAAAAGAGAGCTCTACACATGAAGTGATGTTTCAATATGCAGCATGTAACGAGCTCCATGTAAGCATAAATATGTGTCATGGTCATGGGTGGGTTTGTTGTCACATGCAACTGAAAAATAGCCAAAAAATGGCAGTTGTGCTGAATATTGAATTTGGATGTGTAAATAATCTCAGAGTACTGAAGAATTTTATTAATTAATTATTTCATAATTGCCAAAAATTATATTGCAGATGCATGAATAGATTATAACAACACCCGAGGACACTTTCGAAATTGTTCTTTTTACATGCTTTTCATATCAAATTTATTATTATTATAATTTTGTGGTGTGTTTCATTTTTTAACTTAGACAGGTATTTCATTTCTTTTACCTTCAACTTTGCTTTTCATTTGGGTGTTCCCCCCCCTCTCAGAAATTTTATTTTATTTATTATTTTTCTGTTGCATAATTTCTTGAAATGATTTTTTTTTTTTTTTTTTTAATATGGTATAAACATATTAGGTCAATAGGTCAATTTACACTTGTAATTTCACATTAATAAATGAGTAGTATAATACACATTTGTTATTTTATAATATATTTTCATTTTAATAATGTATTCAAAAGAAAAAGCTGTAACTGATATTTATTTGAGTAGCTTGTTGATTTTACTATTAACCTCCGTGTGTTTTCAATTCCAGGTTTTTTTTTCAGTGAAAAAAATTCATCAGTTCTGTGACTTTGATAATGAGCATGAAATTTTAGGTAAGTATTAAAATATAACTTTTAACTTCTAAAGCACTATTAAATTTTTCCATAAAATTAATTTAAGTTCTTCGTACCTGATAGCAGTATTTTAAAATTCAGGTTAAACATTTCTGTATTGTTATATAAAAAGTATGTTATTTCGATAATAATTTTGAATTAAAAGTGACTTCACTTGTGATAATAAGAATTTGGGTTGCATATAATGTATTATGTCTCTAGTATATCGTAGAGGTACTTGCGTTATTATTTTTTGTGGATTTGAAATTCCACTATGCATTACTAAACTGTAAATGCTTGCTTTACACTATGCATTACTAACTGTAAATGCTTGCTTTACAGTTTAGCAATGCATAGTGGAAGGGCAAAAGATTTCCAAAGCAGTAGGAAAAAAAAAAATTTTTGTTTAATATTTCTTTTTACAAATATTATGGACATTACAACCAAAATTTAATGCTGGGGTGGGGAAACAGCAATTAATGGCTGAATTTTTTTATGTAGTATCTTATATAAAAAAATGATACTCTTCTATTAATGGAACCAAATTAAGAAATGGATGGATGGATGGATGTGTTCATGTATGATGTGTATATGTATATGTGTATGTATGCATCTGTATATATGTGAATACATTTCTGAATCTCCCAATAACAGAAGAGTACCAAAAATGCAGCAAAGGAATATTATTATCTTATTATTTTATGAAAAAGAGTAAATATAAATAATGTGTTGTACTGGTAAAAATACTTTTTCAGTTCCTTTGAAATATAGTAAACAATCTGCCTAATTCTCGCTGATGAAATAGTACATGACATTGTTATTATTACTTTATGTTACTATAAATTATAGTAAAAAAAGTTATCTAGCTGTTTGCAAATTGTATGTGGCAGAAGTGTTAGGAATAAGTATGAGCACATGTAGCTGTCTATTATAAGGTTAAAAACCTATGTAAACCTGATCCGTTTCTTCCCTCCCCCCATTATTTTGAAAAATTACTATTCTGTGTATGTGACCAGTTACAGCCCAAAGGTATCTTTGCATGTTTCAAGCATTTTTAAAAGTATTCAAATTCCTTAAAATATATGGTAAGTCAAAGTAATATATTTAATTTTATAAAAAAACACCTTGAGCCTAAATATAATATGACATTTTTTTCTGTATGTACACCATAACGTAAAAAGTTTATTACCTTTGTTGCTGCTGTTAAAGTAATATACACTTTTTTGCAATGCCCCAAGATATATGATATATAGCCAAAAATTATACTGATAAAAATGCCTTCAATATTCAGCTTGTATAGGGTATCTGAAGCATGCTGTTATTTTTCTGGCATAACATATTACGAAATTCAGGCATGTGTTATGTGTGGAACCATAATTGTTACTTGAGCCAGTATGGTTCTTTGATTTAAAAACTATCTAAACATTCTGTCTTTTCATTTTAATATAAATATTTTATTTTTTTGTTTTATAAATTTCTGTGTAACTCCTTTTGTCTTTCTTATACACATTTGTTTAAAAATATTTTGAATATTTATTGAGACATTATTTTGTTGAATGAATATTTATTGAGACATTATTTATAAGACATTATTTTCATTTTTCTAGATTCTATGCTGCTCAGCTATTATGACAGACTTTTGGTCCGATTTAATACCCAGCAAGCCTGCTAATTTTAGTTGGGAAAACAAGTCAATTGATGTAGCCATAAAAGGCTGCTTTTCATATTATGACACTACTGCATGTGTCAGGTGAGATACTGAACTTTTAATTGCATTGTTTATTATAATGCTAAATTAGTTTTTTTGATTTTTTAGTATAATTAGCCCTTTACCTTATCACAAAATAAAACTAAAATGTTTCTGTTTATTGAGACATTTGTATAAATGTCAACATTATTTCATTTGTGATAGAACTGATAAATAAAATATTGATAATATTAAGGAAAAAATGGAAAAAAAAAATTCTCTGTAACAATGAAATTTAAGTGGTTTTTTGTACATTTAAGTCTGTGATAGGCATCGCCTGTTGAGTTTGCACAAAAATTGTATGCAGGCAAGGCTGGTCATTTTCACTTGAATGGTTTAATATAATTTTTATTGAAATTGTTCTTTAGATATAAAGTTTACTTAAGACTCTTCAAATTTGTTCTCTGATTTTGTAATTTTTGGGGGAGGGGTGAAATGTAGTTTAAAATAATCACATATGACTTTAAAAGAATTGAAATTTGAATTAACATAAAGCAAAAAACTATGAAATATTGCAGTACTATCTGTAACTAAATATTATTCCAATGAAAAAATTAGTTTTAAAGTTATCAAATTTCAGCATGAACTTTGAAGTCAGCTTTAAGTACAAATAATTTTGATACAAGTTTTCATTTCAGATTATCTTTTGAAATCTGCAGCAGGGTTTTTTTTTTTTTTTTTTTTTTAATCATTGCCAATCTAGGATAAAATTTTACATATCTGCGAAATTTTGTATGTTTCTCATATTTCTGTGCAAAATTATTTTTTAATATGCAAAGAGATTTTCCATTATATTAGTTATTTATCCAGTATACATCTAAAATATAGAATCCATTATAAATGTTCAAATCAAAAAATAAGTTTAATCTTCAGTCCTGTATTGGTCAGATTTGGATTGTTATGTCAATGCATATGAAGTGCACTGATGAAAGGTGTGATTTTTATGTTTGAAACTATATATTTGTGTAATATTGTTTACTCATATAATTTTCTTTTTTCATTGTTATGCTATTTCTTGAAATAAGTATTGAACTCTGACATCAGAAACTTTTATTCAAACATGTGAAATAGAGATTGAAAATATTCCAAAAATGTATCATTTAGTGTTTAGTATATTTGGTACTACCATTGAATCATGAAAGCTGACAGGGATCCCACCTAAGTTGCACCAATAAACCTTACAGAATTTTGAAGTAACTGACGCATCTTTATTTAATAAACAGTTGGTTAATGCTGCTTTTTTTTCACCTCAGAAAAAGATTTTCTCTGATTTCTGCTGTTTTATTAGATACTCTGATTTTATCAAAAACTCTGTTTAGAATGCTACGAGTACAAATTTCCCACATGTAATTGTTTCAGTCTGTTACTGTTTTGCCAGCTATATGTAGCTGATCATATCTATGTCCATTAATATACTCTTTTAGTGAAGGTGAAATTTTATAAATATTGAAAAAATCCACTGCTTGCTGTGCTGTAGAAGGCAGGTTCATTTTTTTCAAAATGCAAGTGAAAAGCACAGTAATAACAGCTAATTTATATCTTTGTTCATAAAAAAGGAAATGTGACTTATCGAGAATTAGTCGGGATTACATCAAATTAAATGTTATGAGTGTTTGTTACATTACACATAACTAGTGCTGAATGATACTGCTTGAAAACATTTTCATGACTGATGAGATAATACATAAGTATCATGTATTTATGTACATTACTTAAATGTTACATAATATGTAGTGTTTGGTGTAATTTGTAGTTATGTAGGTGTACATGTAATAAATTTTAAAATGTATTATGTATGGATGTAGTTAGCACTTCTGTATTCTTAAAGCAACATATTTATAATTAATAGGATCTCTTGGTTCGTATTCTAAATATAATTGTTTTTTTAAGAGTGAAATAGATTTTTGTTAAATAAATCGGTTGATTGCTTTAAGTAATAATTGTTGCTAAATTGGTGCGTAAAAAAATAAAGGATAGACCGATAAAATAGCTGTATTTCTGGGAAGATAAAACACACATTTTGTTTTAAAATTTGATGTATTTAATTTGTGTAAATTTATGCATGTTTTTATTATTAGTTATTTATCCAGTATACATCTAAAATATAGAATCCATTATAAATGTTCAAATCAAAAAATAAGTTTAATCTTCAGTCCTGTATTGGTCAGATTTGGATTGTTATGTCAATGCATATGAAGTGCACTGATGAAAGGTGTGATTTTTATGTTTGAAACTATATATTTGTGTAAATATCGTTTACTCATATAATTTTCTTTTTTCATTGTTATGTTATTTCTTGAAATAAGTATTGAACTCTAACATCAGAAACTTATGCTAATTTATGCATGTTCATAGTAACATGCTACTATCTTCTAATATCATTATATGGTATGCTAATTATTTCCGATAATTAATTAGAAATTTATGTCTTTTCGCAGGAATTCCTTGTTGGCCTTCCTTGGATTTATAACACTTTTCCTTTGTGCTATTCGTATCACAAGGCTACATGTGCTTCATCATCCACAACTTCACCAATATCTAGTATTTTACTTTGCTAGTTTTGAAGTATTATTTTTGTAAGTATGAATACTATTTTAGTTTCTTATCTTTATGTTACTTCTTATTAATTATAAGCATAAAAAGGTATATAAATGAGTGATTCTGAAAAAGTGTGAAAACACTTTATTGAAGCACAAGAAACACATACAAGGATAGACACAACAGCCAAAACATTTTTTCACATTCCAAAAATAAGACTAACTATGATTCTCAAATATTCTAGAAGCTGATGTCACTCTAACTCCAGCTTCTGTTACTTCTGTTCATAACACAGCTGATGATTGCCACTTCACAGGTTCTTCCATATGACACTTTGAAGCCATAACAAACAGTTTAGAGTCCTTATACTCTGAAATCAAATACTATATTGCAGAAATTCACTCTGCACAATGCACTTGATTAATCGTCAGATGGCATAACTATTTGATTTTTATATCAGAAACCATTTAATCACTTTTAATTGGATAATGAAAAAGGCTTGTCTTTCACATATTCCCTGCAAAAAAGATTTACATCAACTGGATTTTTCATGGAATATCATTATTTTCGGAGTACATACAGATATTTGGATGCAAGTGTATTTTTTATTCATAGTAATTAAATCTTTAAAGACCACCATTGAAGAAAATATAGTATCAATTTTAATACAGTATGAAGTATGAGATCCAGAATTGCTGAGACATAGGCAGTTCTAGATTTTGAAAATTTCCGGATTTTAGGTCATCAGTTTAAAACTAGCGAAATGACTTGTAGACATGGGGGGCGTTGGAACTTCTTTTACTGTTTAGGTCAGATAGAAAAGTGCTAACTGTCCCTACACAGGGCTGGCACCAGAGCAGGTGCATTCACTGTGGCCACATTGGGCATCCGAACACAGGAACAGCAAAAATTTTAAGACTTCAAAGGAACACTAAACAGCAAAATTTAGGAATGGCAGAATTTTTAAAATTTAACACTGGCAGCCCCAGTGGAGTCACTGGGCAATAGAATTTAGGAGAGACAAAATTTTTAGAATTTAAGGAGATAACCAAGCAGTGAAATACAGAGCACCTAAACAAAATTTTTAGAATTTAAGGAGATAACCAAGCAGTGAAATACAGAGCACTAGCCCTGCATCTCCCACAACACTCAAGGTCCGAAAGTGTAATCCTGTCCAACATCCATATGTCAATCAGTTTATTGTTTTTAGTGACCAACTTGTCTCCCTAACCAGCAGGCTTTTGAAAATGATTTGCAGGTATCTCAGTTATCTGGAGAAAAATCACATTTATGGAGAACCTGTTTTCTTTTGTTATTATATTATTATTCCTATACTTTGGAAAAGGGATTTTTGTTATTATTTTGCTTAGTTTTGTCTTTATTTATTTGGGGAAGCTGATAATCCAGAGGTCCAGATATTGAATGTCCAGATTTCAAACTTTGTACTATATTTTTATAGTTTTTATATGCTTTCTTGTAGTAATACTTTGAAATTTTTATGACAGCATTTTATTGTTTGCATAAGAAAATTCATGTCTGCTTTTGTTGTGTTATATAAATCGTTTATTTGAATTTTAATTTTGATATTATTTCATGCCATATAATTGGTTATGGTCAAAATTTTTAGCCCAGAGGGCATTAGCCCAAAAGGGCTATTAATTTCGTTTTGCCATTTTACGTTGATTCGCTATAAATGTTGGTTCACTTTTCAAATTGTTACTACCAAATATTATCTCCTTGCATTATATTTAAAGAAATTAAATGATGAAGAATCTGCATAAATGTATCTATGTTCTCGCATTGTGATAAAACAGTGGTACCTAGAGCCATTAAATTTTGAATAATGTACGTTTCCAACCAAATACAGGCATCTGGAAGCCCAAATTTGGAATTTGAAATTGGTTTTATTATCTGTTTCAGATTTTATAGAAATTTAATGAATTTTGGATTAACAGTGAAAAGTGATTTAAAAGTGAGCAATGGCAACACTGTACAGGGGGAAAAATTATCTCCAGTGCGCCCAGTGCACGAGACTGTATCACGCTATTTGGCATTTGTTTTATTATCTATTTTGTACAACTTTAACAAATTTTCGATTATCAAACTCAGTGATTTAAAAGTGAGCAATGGCAACACTATATGGGGGAAAAAAAAAAAAAAATTTATCTCCAGCATGCGAGACTATGTATCAGAAAGTCTAAAGGTATGCTCATTCTAAAATTATTTTGCGTATTGCTATTGAACTGAATTTTAAGGTTTAGATGAGAAGAACATGATTTTTAGTAAATAAAGGTAACACACAAAACATTAAGGAAAAAAGCCCCTTTGGGCATAATGTAAAAGCTGGAGGCTTTCAGATTTTTAAATTTAAAAAAAAAAAAATTCTTATTGTTAATTTCAAATTAAATGTTTTGATGCATGTGAAGAAAAAGCTGTGTGCTCTTCTTTCTACCGCAGCAAGTTCTTCTGAAGAATTCTTTTGCTTAGAAAATAAAGGCCATGTTGTTTGGCTTTCAGACAAAGAAATTTTTCATATACAATTTTTTTTTAAATAGTGGTATGAGGGAAATTTTATTGTACTTTTCCCATCCATTATTTATTTCGTATGTCTAGAAAGGAATGCTGAATTTTCCTTTATTTACAAACAGCTGTTTTTTAAATTGTGTTGTTGTTTTTAAAATTATCTTCTTTATTTTATTTTCATTAACAATTATAATTTACTATTGTTTCAGGTTGGTGAAATGGATTGCAGTCAGCAGTTGTTACCAAATGGAATTCATTGCTTCATATGTAAAAATGCTACAATTCATTCTTCTGTGTCATTTCCACTGGTCTCTAGTGTCACGCATACTGCATCAAAAGAAGCTGATTAGTTGGTAAATTACCATTCCATTATATTAGTTGATAAATTATTTTTCTATTTTGTAGGTGGTAAATTACTTACATTTTATCTCGTCAACCAAGCAATGTAATTTAGTGCTAGTTATGAATAAACATGATGAAACAGCACCTTTGTAACATCTGCACTTTCGTTTGATGTAATCCAAGTGATTCTGTATCACCTGCTTTATTTAGTTTCTATGACAAGGATTTAAATTAATTGTTATTGCTATATTTTTTCCCTTGCATTTAAAAAAATATTAAAATTTGGGACATGCCTTCTACATAGCAGCAAATACCATTGTGTTAATTTATAGGTATTTAATTTGAATATGGTAAGAGATTTTGAAACAACATCAAGAACTTTTTTAATTGTACAATGTTTAAATAGCTCATGAAAAAATTTGTGAACTATAGGCCCTGGAAATGAACTACAAGTACATAAGATATAATTTCAGGTTACAATTTTGTTGTTATGATACTTTTCTGTAATATTTTACTGAATTTAAAGAACAAAAATGTTGACTTTTAGCATTCTTATCAGGATTGAATTTCATCAGCTAAGGTACTTTAAAATTCATTAAATGCTAAATAAATCCATTATGTGGTGCCTATATTTTATATATTTTAATATATGCATTTTTATCTTTTGTATAATATATATAATATTTTCCAATACAGTCAAATACCGAAAATCCGCCAACTCCTGAAATCCACGTTGCCTCTCAAAATATAAGCATTCAGTTTCCAGAAATCGCAACATGGAGAATGAAATATCGAATTAAAAATACTTACCAAATAATGATGTCATAAGTAATGAATTAAAATGACTCATAAAGGAAATACCAAATTATTGACATCATGATAAAAGTTTTTCTCCCTCCAGTCTATATCAAGGTAAAAAATAAATCGGAGTTTCTGAAAAAAATTCTTTCAGGTGACTATTCTATTTCACTTTGTAATTATAATAGAAAAAAGAAAAAAGAAAATTCACTATCAAAGACTGCATTTATTTGTTAGCAAAATCATGGGATGTTGTTTCCCAAACAACATTAGTAAATGCCTGGCGTAATGTATGTCCATCTTCTCTGTTTTTGAAACTGAGAGATATGACAGTGACTTTTCTGGTTTTAGGGTCAGTGCAGCAAGGGTCAAAGCAAGAGAATCACTTTTATGTGTGAAAGAATAAATGAGGAGGCTTTACAAGAAGATATTGTTGAATGTATGATGTGTTCAGATGAGCCAACACTGACATATCAGATGACCCATGATTAAATCATTGGCTTTGTTTTGAACTTATCACACCAAGAAAACGATTCTGACACAGATAGTGATTTTGATAGGAGTAAGAAAATATCTTTTTGGAACATGGTGAAAAATATCTAAAACTTTTAAAACAACAGAGCTGTGTCACAGAGCAAGAGATTCTGTCTCTATATAATTTACAAAAAAACATACTCTGGAGCACCTTAAAGTTTTAAAACAAAATTCTACCAGAAAAATGTTTGAAACATGTAAAAAAAAATTTAATATTTTATGCTTTATTAATATCCCTTATCTTTATATGTCTTTATTGTATATGCGCTTATGCTTTTAAATATCGGTGTAATCACTAATATAAATGAATAATATAATAAATATATTTACATCTAATAATAATTTATTGCATATAATAAAATTAATGTAATAGTTTATATGTATATTATTGTAATAATGTATATAATAATTCAAGTAAATTTATATAATATGCCTTATTTATTTTGCACTTTTAGTCTGAATATTATAATTTATCTTTTCCATCCTGAAATCCGTAAAATCCTAAAATCTGCACAACCTCTGGTCCCAAGCATTGCGGATTTCTGGACTTCTGCTTTACTAGTTATTTCAATACCTATGTATTATTCCATTGATCAGTACTTGTGTATTATTCCTTCAATTATGAAGGCTGGCTACCATCAAGTTAGCAGAGATCCTGCACCAATCATTTCTGTTAAATTCTGAAGTAACTGTCACCCCTTTATTTAATAAACAGTCAGTTTTCAATCCACTTTGCATTCATACAGCATTTGTGGATTTCAAGTATTTTGTCAAGCTTTCCCATTATTACTAGGAGCTTTGTTCAGAATGCTGTGAGTACAAACTTCTCACAGGTAACCATTCCACTCTATTACTGTTGCATTGGGCCTATTTAGCCGACCATATTTTGTCCATTAAATATAATTTTTTTTTTCCCCCCTCAAAGCAAGATACCATAACTTTGCAAATAATCCACTCTTTCCTGTTCTGTAAAATGCAGGTTCCAATTCCCCCCCCCAAAATGCAAAGGAAGAAATTTAACAGTAACAATTAATTTATTTCCTTGTTAATAAAAACAAAACATGGATATTATAAAGCATCAATCTGGATTACATCAAATGAAAATGCAGATGCTACGAGGTTGTTACATCACACATATCCATAATTGGCATTGAATCACACAAATGTACTGTTATTTGTACTCAGTTAAATTAATAACTGAATTTTATTTCTAGGGTAATAATTCCATTTCTTGTTGGATTTTTCGCCTTTCTTTCCTTAGTCACTGCATTAGGCTTGATAGCTCACTTTTCACCATGGACTGCATGTTTAGGTAACTTTAATTGTTTCCCTTTGGGAAAATTTGAAATGTTTATCCAATACTGAAATTACAGTTCTTGTTCCTTGTATTTATTGTATGTTTAATTTCCAGGAATGTTAGGGATAAAACATGTTATATAGAATTCTTATGTAAATATGCTTTATTTAAAAACAAAACATCTTGATAAATTGCATTGTTACAAAGATAATATTTATTGAAGGGTTAAATAAAAGTATTTTTAAGTATAATAAAGTAATACTGTGATAATTACTGATTAATTATCAGTGTTACTGAATGAAATTATATAAAAAATTTTTTAATTTAATTTGGAAATTGAATCTTGTTTATCTGAACTAATTAAGGTGATGTCATTCTAAATAAGATTTTTTTAATAGCCCATGATAAATGTTTTTGGCAATCAAAACTAAAATTAATTCAAAAAATAGTATTATTAAACTGAAGTCTATATTAAAGTACATTTACATATATGATTTTTTAAAGTAAATGAATGATCATTTTAAGTTTTTAAGTTCTCTTTTGGTTCTTCACTGGAGAACAATCCTGCTATATTTGTCTGAGCTAGATTTTGTACAAAATGGAAAAAGCTTATTTTTGTGCTCGTCATTTTCGGCAGTAATGTTATTTTTGAATACATTCCTTATAAAGTAAGCTTCAGGTTTTTCTTTTCAAGCTTTCTATGTTTATTTTAGTCATGTACTATAAGTAATTCAGTTCAGTATGAAAGAAGATTTTATTTTTATTAAAATTATCACTTTAAAGTTACTGAATAAGTATCCAGTAAATGAAATTGGAAAAATTCATGATAAAAATTACTGTGTTTGAATATTTACAAACATAGCAATTTATAACTGATGTAAATTTTTTCGAAAATTCATAAATTCATAATATTTTGTAATTAAATCTCAGTTTCAAAAATTTTTCCATAGCAGTTTTTAGTAAATAACAAATTCAAATATTAGAAAAATTTCACATATTATGTATTGCTTATTGCTAAATGCTTTTATATTTTCCAGAAATCAGTTGTATTCCTGTTTATTGTAGTTTAGTATTTAGGTAGTTTTTATCTGTTGTGGTACAATGCAGATTTTATTGATATAATCCGTTCATGAACTTAAATATTGGTAGTCATATCATCAACAGAGATTTTTTAAAGATTGGCAGTCATATTATCAACAGAGATTTATTCCACAGATTATTATTTTTGCATACCTGTTACAGAAATCACTGTTCATTGTAAAATATCATCTTGCCTCTAAAGCAGGAAACAGACAGGTTTAGTTTACAAGATGTGGAGATTACTAGTTTTCATACTAACTCATAATGTTATTCTTCACAATATTAATACTGTAGTTTTAATTCATGAATTTAAAAAAAAAATTGGAATGATGAAATCCTTCTTTTGTGACCTGGTAATTTTTTAGGTACTTTCTGATTATCCACACCCCCATAAAAAATTGCAAAAAAGTATTCATGAGGCATTTATATTTTGTATTTACACTTAAAAGTATTTATGTGTCAGCCCATGTATGTGGGTAGTTCACATCTGATTAAGTATATGAGAATTTGATTTTTGAAACTCAGCCATCATATTTCTGATTTTTTTTTTTTTTTTTTTTTTTTTTGTGTGTGTGTGGTGTGTGTGTGTGTATGAAATTATGAAATATATTTTTCTTTTAGCAAATCATATTGGGACAGTGGAAGTAGTGGGTTAAATGATCAAACAAAAAAGGGCTGCCTCTGTGCAAAAATATGGCATTTTACCTAACAACAGAAAGTGCAAAATTTGCGTTATATGAAGTTGTATTTCTTGAACCACTGAATTTTATGGAAATGCAATGTAAAAAATTGCAAGCAAAGAGTCATAAATTGGTTTGAAGATAATTTTATCTTGTTTAATACAGCTATTATTAATTTATTGGAGGCTGGAGGTTATACCAAAGTTGTGCATGATGCTTAATTTGTGCATTTTTTTTCTTTTGTTAAAATAGATTGCTGTGTACATGGAAAAAACAAGAGTACAGAAAACTTACAAAATAATTTCTCAAAAAAGGTTAGATTTGTATTACTGGTGTTTCTCACTTCTTAATTTGATTGATTGCTCTGTTATGGAATTCTTAACATGGCACCATTTTGAAAATTGGTTTTACCTTACATGCATTGGCTTGACAAAAAACAGTTGCCAACAAATTTACAACTTTTCAGCAAAGGGGCAGATAATCAGAAAGTACCATACCAACCCCTCTCCAGAATCAAAATTTAGATTGTATCAATTTAGAAGTAAGTGTTGAATCTCCTGTGATTTTTTATATGTAATATCTTTTGATTCAGCTCCACACTGGATATTGCTGTCCTTCGCCGAGTTCTTGGGAATCCAGTTGTATGTTGTTGCTGGCATTTACATAACCAAAAAAATAAATTCCATCTCTGCCCTTGATTCATTTAAGAGAGAGCAAAAGAGAGATTTATGGAGGTAAAAATAATTTTACATGATTTCTTACTTCAGATCGTTCATGTAAATTACTTCACATGCAATTACTCTTTGGCTTATGGTATATCTTGATAAGCTCCTCATTAGCTGAAAATATCATGTCACAAAAATACATCTAAACTGCTAATCTTTTGTTAACATTAAAAGTCCTGAAATAACTTAATTTAACTTACAACTTTATGAAATCATTTAATGTGCTGTCCTAAATATGCAAAAAGGTATGACTTTGAGAATGTTTTTTATTAATTTAAACAGCTGATAACACAGTAAATCGTAAGAATGAGTAAAAGTCTAGGATTTAACTTTATTTTCTAAATGGCAGAAAAGCTGATTTAAAAAAAAGATCATCAAACTTTTGGATATTTATCAGTTGTCCTGGCTCACATTTTCTTGCTGATAATGTTTTAGGAACCAAGAACATTTTTAAAAGCTAAACATATCCAGTGAATTTTCGTAACAATTTTCTACTGTTGTGTTGAATATCCTTTGCAACAATCAGTAGATATTATTGAGCTCTGCACCATGTTGCCTGAAATTATATCCGTTAAAGTTTTGCTGTTGTTTTTTAACCATTTTCCAAAAATGCATGTTTTACAACATAATTTGTCAGAATAATACATTTTCCACGTGGTTTTCCATTTTATATAATTGTATTAAGAAGCAAAAAATATAAGTTTCTGTATTTTTATTTTTATTTTAATTTTTTTTAATCTTTTATATAGTATGAAATTCTTCTATCATAAATTTAAGTTTTTCTGACCTATTTTCAATGGGAAAATGTGAACTGATATAACTGATAAGTATACCAAAAATGTTGAAGATATCTAATGTGATGTGCAAAAGTGTCAGTGCTGGTGAGTAAGCTTTGCAAGAAGGCATTAAATTTTGCCATTGCGTTTGGTTCTGTTATTTTTTTGAAGTGGGAGTGTCAGCACTGTTGTTAATTTTACTGTGTGTATCACTTCTAGCATATTTTGTGAGCCGAGATAATAGCCAAAATTTAATGTACAGTTCCCGATGAGTGCACAGTTCTTTCACACTATATTAAAATTAGAAAAAAAATGTGTAACAGAAACCATAGTAGTACATTGAAAAGTTTCATCCCTCTCTCCCTTAAACTGGATCATTTTCTGGATAGCATATATTAATAATATTGAATTTTGTATTATTTGATATAAGAAGTGTATACCGTATTTATGCGAATCTAATGCGCCATCGAATCTAATGCGCATCCCCATTTTAAAACTTTAAATAATAAAAAAAATTGTTTGTCGACGAATGTAATGCGTATCAATGGTATGAGAAATTTATTGAATCTTATTTTATACAACAATAGATTTATACATAAAGTAGCAGAACATAGAATTAACCTATTAGTGGGCTATTGTTATGTGAAACAATCATTGTTAATTACCACTACCGTATATGGTACATATCGTAAAGTATGAACATGAAATAAATCGTAGCATTTCTATCTAGCTAACAGTTTCTACAATCAGTGATTAATAGTAAACATCTTTATTCACTATTTTGATGATAACATTTTTAGTGTCCTTCTCCGTAATGGTGTAGTTACGAGGCATATCAAACCAAATTGGCGTCTCGTCAGCGATGTCAATTTGCCCCATTGAAAAATTTTTTCCTTTGGAAGTGTGATGACATACCGCTAAAATGTTAGTAGTTTTCTCTCAAAATCTGCAGGAAGCTTTTGGCATATTGTTGTACGGCGTCTTAGAGATAAGCCCATCCGATTCATAAACCGATCCAGCCATCCACGGCTAGCCTTAAACTCTGGTTTCGGTATTCCAAGAACTTCAGCCTCCTCTTTTGCTTTATTTCATATAGTGTCGCTAGTCACAAGTTGTCCATTCTTCCTCCTTTCACGTACAAATTCCAAAACCTTTTCTTCAATTTTAGGGTGTCTTCCTTTGCGAGGGCCAGTGAATTTCTTTCTACTAGTTTTAGTTGCAAACAGTGCCAATTTCTGTTGCCGCCACAAGCGAACATTGCTCTCAGCTACGTTTAACTCTCTTTTCTATTGCCATTTCTTTCAGGATAAAGAATTACTTTATGTTTGAAAGTAGCATCATATGACATTCTTCTCTGCTTGCCCTCCATTCGTGACTACGTACTCTGCAGTTTGTATCCTCTGTGCAATAATGTGTCAACCAATAAATGTTACGGTAAATGTAGTCGAGAAATACAGTAATCCATTGTTACGATTTAAATTTCGGTTGACGTCAATCGCCGAACTTTGCACTCGAATCTAATGCGCACCCCAATTTTGAGTACTACATTTGGCCAAAAACGATGCGCATTAGATTCGCGTAAATACGGCAATATTTGCATCAATAAAATTATTGTTGTTTCTGTACTGTGTGTAAAATGTTTAAATTTTATCAGTTCAGTATTTTTCAGGTCTTAGTTTAAATAGCAGTATTTGTCAATGCAATGTATGTATGTGATTGTTAATATTTTTACTTTTTTTTGTGTGTGTGACTGTGAAAGTCTGTGCTGTAGTATTATGCTTTTTCTTAAAATATATATATATATATATATGTATAATTTCAGTGTTATTGCTACATATGAGTTCTCATCTGTAACATCTTTGGCCTATTACTCAACTTTACAAGCATGTAAGTTACTTTTATTTTAGTTTAATGTTATTTTAAAGCAAGACAATCAATGAGATATTACTTAGTAATAATGTTATTGTGTTATTCTCTTCTAGTGGTAATAAACTGTGCTATTCAAAAGATAGATTTCTATTATTTTTATTTTCCGTTATGTGGAATTGTTGCAGCCTAAATCTGCAACTATCTAAGCTGTGTATTTGTACTCCGTAACATTTATGGAAACTCTTTAAGCACTAATAAACATATGTGCCTCATTGTTAAAAATTGTTATGACAAGAAAAACAGTTGAGATACATAGTAGTAGCTCCATTTTGGAGTTCAAGTAATGAAAACATAGTGAAACTTTTCATGGTGATCACTTCCCATAGATGATGCTTTTGAAAATGACCAGTATTTCTAAAAATATAAATAAGCATCTGTATTAAACATCTGTGTGTCTTTTATTTGGTATCATTTAGCCAAATAAAACACAAAATATCAAACAGGTATCACAATGTGTCACAAATTTGTTGCCAACTACACAGAATATTCAAATAGTTTGCAACTATTGGTGCTTGTCTAGTTTTAACTGTATATTAGGGAGGTTTCACTGCTATGGGTATTATAGTGGTTTAGGAAGCTGTAGTGGCTCACACTGCTATGTTGGTTTTGGGTGGGAGGTGAACCTTAGGAAATGTCAATAACCATGTGCTTCATTATGAGTGATTTCTTTATTACTACTATAGTTTGGTATCATATGCAATCAATATCATGAAAATGTTTCTTTTGATTTTTATGGTGCACTATCTATTTAAGAAAATTTCATTCCCTATTTCAATTAAGTTATGGACCCAAACTGAATGTCATTAAAAAGAAGAATATTATGTTTCTATTTAGTAATGCTTAAACATGTATGTAATGTGTATCTTACTGAGAGTTAAACAGTATAAGCTGTGATCCTATTATATAATTCAGTGAACCAAGAACATTTTTAAAAGCTAAACATATCCAGTGAATTTTCGTAACAATTTTCTACTGTTGTGTTGAATATCCTTTGCAACAATCAGTAGATATTATTGAGCTCTGCACCATGTTGCCTGAAATTATATCCGTATATATAACTATATAATTAACAAAGTATTTTTACTCCCCTCATAATTGCATATAAAGCAAATGTTAACATACATTGTTAGCATCATTATTACCAGATGCATCCAGATTAGACTTCTAAAGGCAGTGAATTAAGATCATGTGCCGTAAAATGAAAACTTTATGTCATTGTAGGGCACATGATCTTGGATATCCAAAACCAATTTATCACCATAAGATATCTAACAGCCCTTGGATATCTTATGGTGATAAATTGGTTTGTCAATATGCACGATTACTTTTATAATAAGCCTGCATAAGAAATAAAAAATTAATAAAAACAAATATTTTTAATAACTTGTATAAATTTGTGATGATTCATTTTAAAAAAAGGTCTGAATGGAAAGTTGTATTTTTGCTAAGTATGTCACACCTGATATTATGCTGAACAAAAAGTTGATTTGTAATACAAATAAAAAAGAGTGTTGCAGATTTTGTGGCATTAGTTCAAAAATAATACCAGTTTACAAAAATAAGCATTGCTTTTCTACATAATTTCTGTGATTTTATTATGATTGAGAATTGTAAACATTTTTTGCTCAAATTTCAGCAAATTTATTTAGAGATATTCATTTGAATTATTTTTAATTATCATTGTTGTTACTTTTGTATTTATTATTATTTTGATTTGGAGCACTTATGTGTAGAAAAATAATTTTGTAGGGGGTTGGAGGGAATTGGGGCAGCAGTGCTAATATTAAATAAATTAACTTTTGAAACTGAGCTATTATGTACGGGGGGATTATAATTAAAGTTGTGATTTCAAAACACTCTAACTTTAAAAACTACTTGTCAGAATGACTTGATATTTTACTAGAACAATCAAGAGGCAATGGAATTTTGTTTTGCTAAGAAAGAAAATAGTTTCAAAATATGCCACTAGATGGCACTATCAGGGTTCACATTGCTGTTGGTATGCAAATTACTAAGAGGTAACATGTGCACTGGAGACATGGCTAAGATAAAAATGCAGAGCACTAACAGCACACATAACAATTTGCCTGAGAGCGTCATGACTGACAATAAAGGATTGAGCTCTTCTCGTGAAGCTTTCCTATCAGATTGGTGACCATGCATTAACAACTGTCAGGAAGCTCCGGACGTTAAAAGACATAAAATCAGGCTCAATGACCATACATGGCATGTGGAAAATGATAGGTAAATTCAAAGAGACGGGTTCATTTGACGTTAAACGAGGTAGATGACGAAAACCAGTTTCGGTGACCACAGTGGAAAATGTGGCCACAGCGTTACAAGAACTGACAAACAGAGATGTAGAATCAGCAGTACACCAGGATTTGGCCGAACGTTGGATATGCCTACCAGCATTGTGCGTAAAGTCCTGCGGAACATCTTATTTTTGTTATCCGTTAAGATAACTCGTGTGCAGCAGTTGCTAACTACTGACCTGGAAACACATGAATCGTTTGCATTACAATTTCTTGCTTAAATTGAAGTGGATCATGAATGGCCTTGGAACATTCTGTGGTCTGGGGAAGCTCATTTCCATTTGCAAGGTTCTGTAAATATGCAAAATTGCAGGCACTTTAGCAACACCAATGTGTGGATCACACAGTATTCATGAAAGATGGCACTCCTCCACACATTGCTACTCGTGTGAAGCAGCTGCTGATCACTCATTTTGGAGATAATAGAATCATAAGCTGCCATTTTCCAACAGCGTGGCCACCATGCTCTTTCAACTTAAACCCATGTGACATTTGGCTGTGGAAATATCTGAAGAATGTGGTTTACTGTGGATGGATTGCGACTTAAAGCTAAGCATCCCGCACCATATTCATAGCATCAGCACAGATAACCTCCGATTTGTTGTGGAACATGCAGTATTGCGCTTCCACTTAGCAGCAGAACAAGGAGGAGAGCGCATCAAACAACTTACGCATTAATCCATAAAGTGTTTGTTTCGTGAAGCTTCTCTTTTCACTATCGCTGTTTTCTCTATAAATATGTATTTTTGTCTTTTCACTAATAAAATTGTGACAAACCTGTGGAGTTTATTGTCTCCTTTCAGTCATACATCCACAACAGCAATGTGAACACTGACAGCGGCATTCTATCGACAAATTTTTTAACTATTTTTTCCTTTGCCAAACAAAATTCCATTTCCTCAGGATTGTTCTGGTAAAATATTAAATTATTCTGACCTGTGGTTTTAAAGTTAGAGAATTTTAAAATTGCAACTTTATTATTGCCCTGTATTTTAGCATTTAAATGTAAAAAAAAATAAATAAATAAAAAAAATTGCCTTTTGCTGTTTAACTGCTGTATTGTTGCAGTGGATAATAACTGTAATTAAAATTAAAAATATGATTAAGTTTTATAATTTTCTATTTTTTTAATTAAAAAATAATATTTAAAATTTTAACTCGTTAAAAAATTGATTTTTCAAAATGACAAATCAACTTAAAATTCATTGCGCGCAGCACCCTCCCCCCGCCTCCGCAGAGCAGCGTGAAATTGATAAATAGATTTCAGAATGGTTAGAGAAACGAAGGATATGCCTTTATCCATTTTTTGCAGCAATTGCACTTTTTGTTTAATGGACTTTGAAACATACTTTCGCTGTGTAGATCCTTTACATATTAGTAAATATATATTGGAAATTCTATTTGACATAATCAAAAGTTCAATCTTACTTTTATAAAATTGCTGTAACAGTCTGCAAAAAATAATAAGCCGGATCCTATTCGAAGATTAAGGAACAACGCAATCTGCAACATTAACTGAATTAGATAATTTTAGCTTAGCTTATACCATCTGTTATACATTAAACGCGCATGCGTAAACGTATTATGCGCATGCGCACACGCATATTCGCAACCGTAAAGGTCTTCCGCGTCAACACGACACATGCGCAGAAAGTTTGTAGTTTTGAGGTCCGGATTAACGACTTTTGACTGTATTATTATTTCATTCATAAAAATTAGTTTTGTATGTTTAACAATAATAATACTAAAAGCCCAGAGAAATTATAACTACAGATACAATAAGTTGAGAAAATTCTATGTATGAGGCTCATATTCAGAAATTTTCTTTCATCTGAGTACAGTATTTTTAAACAGTCTGCTCTTATAAATAGTTATCAGAAAAACTTCATAATTAAGAGTAAATGTAGGTTTCAAAATAAATAAATAAAATTTGGTCTGTAATTTCAGTTTTTTAAAAATAAGATATTGTAGGGTAATTAATATTTATTACTTATTTTCAATAAATAAATTTTAAAATTATAATGTCTTATATTTTGTATAAGCAGTAATTAAAATACACAATGTGATCAAAAGTATCTGGACACCTTGTCATGGTGGTTCTCCTGCAAATCAATTAAAAATTTATAGATTTTGTACAAGTTGCTGTGTTAATCTCTGCTATTCAGTCAGGAAGACTATTCACTAATTTTTAAATAGCACATATTGTGAGTAGGCCAGCCTAGTTCTTCCATGTTCATTTCAGTAAACCAGCTTTGTATGACCTATGTCATAGAGATGGAAGCACATTATATTGAAATGAGGTGCATGGCTAGGCCGAGTTCAGATCCTGTAGAAGGCATGAATGTTTGTTAGTGTCTGTGGGACAAGGGGTCACTCAAAATATATAGCGAGTTGAAACTCCATTTCAAGTGGTTAGTGATAGGGGAAGAGGGATGGGAGACCCTTGGTTGTTCTCTCAAAATTGTAGTGGAGCTGCACAGTTAGGACCTATACAACTTATGGGAAAATTCTGGTGTGCCAGCTACTTATACCTGAAATAGTAGTGGACTCTTACAAACAGTTTTCATAACTCAGAATTGCCTGATAGTGAGAGCTGTGTGTGTCCTTCATATGAACAGAAATCCAAAACAAAACCATTATGCTTCTACCATCAGACTTAACTCTGGGCACAGTTTAGTTGGGTAAGCTTTCTTTGCCTGGCATTCTCTGTATTCAAGCATGCCTATCAGAGTAACTGATTGTGTAGTAAGATTTATTACCTTGTAACACACATCACCAGTGTTCAAAGCTTTAGTGTTGTTGAGTTTTACACTACTGTCAATGACTGGTTGCTTTAATGTGATATATATGCTGCTGCTCAAGCATGAAAATTTGAAATTTGCAACTTCTACTCAGTTGTTATTCTACTGGTGCTGCATATGGAAACCTCTTGTAATTCAATACAAATGTTTTCTGCTGATTCTAAATTATTCTGTTTTATAACCTTTCTTAGCTGTCCTTGGTTTGTATCTGACAGATGTTTGCATCAACCAGATCTTGGTTGCAAAGTCTTAACTCCTGCATATTTCAACTCCTCTTTGACACATTTATGGAGAATGTGTGACATTCCAGAAAAGCCATGGATTTATTTACCTTAGCGTTAATATCCAATCATTTCTTCATATTTTAAGTCATTTAACTTATGTTTTTCTCCCATTTTGCATTCTTCACTCTGCAATAATCAGTATGAACTTGTCTCTTTTTGTGCCTGTTTGAGCTGACATTGTGCCATCAGTGATTAAATCCTTTACCTCCTTCTTGCCATTTTGCATTTTTCAATATAGAACAATCGATGTGAACTTGCATGTGTCACTCTATACCTGCCTGAGATAAAGTAGTGATATTAGTGATAGAATCCACTACCTCCTGAGTGTATCCAGATACATTTGACCGTTTAGTGTGTATTAAATGACCCACTTATCGTATTTAATAATTCTAATGTTTGTAAATACTTCTCAGTGGGAAACCACGAAAACGGATGCAGTGGAATATTTGTAAGTATATACTTTTTCAGTGAAATTATTTTCATTTATAATTTAAGATATCTAAAATTTAGGTAACTGTAAAGCAGTATTTTAAACTAATGAATTCTAGGAATTTAATTAGTGTGAAGTAATAAGTTCCAGTTATATGTTTCTGTGTTGACAATTTAAAAAAAAAAAAAATATCAGTGTAAAATTAAATTCTTTCCTGGAGTAACTTGCAATTCTTTAGTTAGTTAGATGGGGTCAAATATTTAAGTAAAAATTTAACCACGAAAATTTGAAAGGCACTGGCAGTTTTATTTGCTGAGAGTAGACATTTTTTCTCTTCAGCTGACCAGTTTATAATAAACCATGACATGCATAAGTATATAGCTTTGTAAGAAAAAGGCTGCATATGTTTAAATTATAAACTTTTTTTTTTTTTTAACTTTCATCTGTTCTTGTAATAGGTTAAAACTTGCATTAAACTATGTAAAGAATGCAAAAACATAAGAATCTTAATTTTTCCATAATTCCATAATGTCAGTAACCAAGGATATCTATATTTAAATCTTTGTGTTGCCTAGGAGATTCAATCTCGATCTTGCTGGTGCCACTTTTCATCTATATAATGATCTTACTGCATACAAAATATCACTAGAGAGCCAGCGCATATGTACAGCTAATGAGGTAACAAATTCCACAAAACAACTTCCTCCTGTAATTTAGGTTAAAATAACACTCCAAATAATGATTATTGGAGAAGTCAAACAACAAGAATCAGCGTAATATTTATAGATTTCTGTCCTGCAAAATTTACAAACATTACGCTGATTCTTGTTGTTTGAATTCTCTAATAACTTCCTCCTGTTCATAGTACTTAGGTATTTAAAAGGAAAAATTATAGGAAAAGAAAATAAATTTGCGATGAAAAATCATAGGAAAAGAAAATAAATGAATATTTTGGTTATCTGCAGGAACAAAAACCTCTTAAGTATACTTCATAAGTTTTTATTATTATTAATTACAGGTTAGTAGTAGCTTTGGAATTTGAAACTCTTAGCTAACCTTCACTTATGATATCCATCAGTTAAAGAAAATATAAAATTTAAATAAAGAATTTTAGTTTTTCTTTCAAGCTTCTTGACTAATTGGGTTAACTTCTTAATGCTAGCACATGCTTATTTTATCACAATTTGAATTTGATACATCTGTGTATTTCATGCTGGGTGATATATATAGTATATCAAACAAGAGATAATATAAATAGGAAGAGGGAGAATTCCGAACTCTGAGTTTGATCTTTGAAAGTCCAGCTTGCACACATTAAATGTCTCATAGAATCAAAATCGTAAAAAACAACCTTGTATTTAGCGTAGGTATAATGAAACACTCAATCGATTTCGAGGGCTGCTAAAGGTCTCTCCTCATCAGGAGAAAGAAATACATAGAAAGAAGAAAATAGGAGAAGGAGTCACGGAAACACATGGTCCTTATCAGCACTGCACGTGGTTATAACTAGATTTTTAATCAAGAGTTGCACTGGCCGCCTACTTTTACTGAGCCAGGCTATCTGATCAAGCATAAAAATAAAAATATTAGCGAAGTTTAAAATAGGGAGCGAGGAGCAAATGCACCTTACGCTCAAAATCTGAACTTCAAATAATGGAAAGCAACCACTGAACGGATTTTTTATACCCTCTGGTAGTACCAAATGCGAGAAGGTATCGCCATCTATCAGCAAAAATAACTGAATTAAGATAGTAGAATTTTAAAGGCATTAGGAAGGACTGGATTGGACTTCAAATCATTAACTAAACTTGCTAAATCTTTGTGAATGTGAAAAAGCCTCAAGAAAAATCCAATTCACCTATGGAAGAAGCCTTTTGGATGATTTTTGCAGACCCAAAATCAAAATTATGGTTAAAAGTCCAACTATGATACGCTATTGAAGACTTGTTAATTTCGACTTTTTTGACATAAGATTCATGTTCCTTGATAAGAAACTTCAACGCTCTTTTTGTTTGGCCACTATATCTTAAACCACACTGACACGATATACTATAAATTCCCCAAGAATTCAAGACAGAAACGCAATCTTTTAGAATCGAAGGGTGAATTTTATTAATAGGGGAGAAACTGACTTGAAAATTGAATTTCTGGAGAATTCGTGCAATTTTGTAGCTAACAGAAGGATAAAATGGAAGCACGACAAGGTCATTAATATTATTTCTAACAGTAGAATGTCTTCTTTGATGGGAACCTGAAAATTTTTTAACGCCTTTATCAATAATCACGGGAGAAAATCCACGGTCAATCGCAACTGCTCTCAAATAATTAAGTTCATTGGTAAGCAAAGATTCAGAGGAACAAACTTTAAGCGCGCGGAATACATAATAGTAAAAAGAAGCCATTTTTTGCTTAACAGGAGGGCATGACTTGGCATGGGCTGGCAAACAAACTGCAAAGGGTTTACGGTACACAGTGGTGCTAAAATCGGTTTCATTGCGGATTATAAGAATATCGAGGAAGGGGAGGGAATTGTTGGATTCAATTTCAAGAGTGAATTGGATGGCTGGATCCGTTGAATTCATAATAGATAGAATCTCGGGATAAATCCTCTTTATTAACCGTCAAAAAGTGCGAAAAGTGTCGTCAACATACCGAATCCAAAGACGAAAAGATAATTTATCAAATAATTTCACCTCAAAAATAGTGCATATAAATGTTCAGCAAGTACCAGGACTGAGAGGATTACCCATAGCCAATCCTTCAACTTTGACGAAAATATGCATTTTGGAAAACAAAGTGGGTTTGACTCAGAGAAAGACTCTTAGTAAGCGAAACCAACTCATTAATTTTCAGTATGTGTGAAGTGGAATTCCCGAAGCCTATTTTTCAAGACAATTTAGTGCTCCTTCGACCAGAACATTAGTAATCAAGTGATTTGACATCAAATGAAACCTATAATGGAACGAAGTGGAGAAATATTTTTAACTTTATCAATGACTTCAAACAGAATTTTTTACAGTGTGAATATTGTTAGCAAGTAAAGGAGAAAATCTGGAAACTAAAAGCTTTAGCTGCCCTCGAAATATATTGAGTGTTTCATTATACCTACGCTAAATACAAGGTTGTTTTTTACGATTTTGATTGTCACATTAGCGTGTTTCTCTTCTAGTCTAGTCTCATAGAATGTTGTCTTCAGATGTAAAACAAACAAGTCCATCAGAAAATCCAAATATTTTATATGCAGATAATAAAATTAGAAATAGTTAATCATATTTGCTTCATGTGACTGAAAACTAAGTAGGAGTTATAAAGACTGTGGATTCCACAAATTAAATTAGCTGAAATACGGATTGGATGAAAATTGTATGAGTCTTTCACATCTCTTTTTGAATAGAAAATTAATGTTCATTGTTACTACTAATTACACTAAAATACCAAAAATGTAAATATCAAATTTTATTTGGAAATTATTAATTTTTTTTTCAAAGCACATAAAGTAGGTGCCACCTAATATGATCATGCTTTGTCCATGGTTGTTTTGATAGCATTAACCAAATGATAGCACTTATCGAAGTGAAAAAATATCCATTAATGTTGCAGTGGAATTTAATTAATTTAATATAATTAGAAACATGCAAATGAATACTTTCACAGCATTTTAATTAGTAAAATGCAAAAATTTGTTATACAAACTATTTGTAATGTCTTAAATGTAAAAATAAATTGTTGAACTGTTCGTAAAATTTTTCGGAATTAGTTGACCAATCTTAATATTTAAAGGAGTAGCCTTATTGGAAGAGAGCACACTAATGTAAAATTTAAAAGTAACCCCCCCCCAAAAAAAAAAGCAATCTTAGTTTGGCATGGATACTTCAAGGGATCTACAGAATTTAATTTTTTTCTTGAAGAAGAGGTCACATCAAAATCTCTGTCAAACAAGGTTGCTTTTTTGTCAAATTTTAAATGGTTCTGAAATCAAAATCAGGCTGTCCATGACTTTTAAACCTTTACTGAGTGACATTTACCTATCATTTAGCAAATTTTATAATCTGTTTGACCTTATTTGACGACATAATCTTTTATTTGGTAATTTCACTTCAGTTTAAAAATTATATTCTATGATATTTTGATCATATTTATTGAAGGGTTGATTACAATAAGTGATGCATTTTCCATTTTTTCATGTACAAATGGGCAGAACATCAGCAATTCATTAACAGCATCCAAATAATAACATTAACGGCAATCGTATTAAGTGGTGTCTGTTGTAAATGATTTCTAGCTATATGTTGCTATGATCTTTTCTTTTTATTATTGTGTTTACGGTGCAAGCAATAGTATTTTGGTGAGTCGGGAGAAAAATTATATGCTTGAAATATATAATTTATGAGTTTGGAGGATGAAGTGTAGTACACTAATTGTAAAAATGTTACAGCATTTGTTGCCCTCTCAAAATATTAGTATGTAGTGCATGTTATTTCTAAATGTTACATTGATTTTAAAAAATGTAGTGTTATCAGATGGATGATAAATCAGGTACACATGAGTTGGCCAAATCATCTTATTTTGATCAAGCATCTTTCTTTGCAGCATGAAAATGTTACAAAGAAAGTTGCTTCATCTTCATTTGTTAGAAAAATCTGTTTGTTGTTTTTTTCATTTGTTAGAAAATCATTTGATTGATAATACAAAATTGTTTGCTTAAAACATTATATTTACTTTAATTAATGTTTTTAAAAACATGTAAACACTTGCTGTAGCACTTTTATATAAGATAGATGGATGTTACATAAATGTAATGTTTCACAGTATAAGATGATAATATAATTTACAAACTTGTTAGATGAAATAAGAGACTGAATTAAAACATAACTTAGAAAGTACTTATTTAAAAATATAAAAGGGGTTGAGCCTAAAAGTTGTTTTGGGTAAATTCACAGTAAAAGGTGGTATTTTGTACAAGAGACACAAAATGATTGTTCTTTAAACTATAATAAATAATTATATTTAAAGGATCACTGAATTAATGTAACACTTCTCCTTTAAAAGTGAGTGGATCTAGTGAAAATAATTCTTTACAAGAATCGATTATTAAATTTATAAAAAAAAAAATGTAAAAAATTTAGAGCAGGTTCATATATATATATATATATATATAGACAGAGAGAGAGAGAAAGCTTAGTTTGATCAGAAGTAAAAATTGTTTTATTACAAATTCTAAATTCATATTTCACTATGTGATATTTAACTTACTTTACAAACATAGTATTATATTTTTTATTTGTATTGGCTGTAGGTGAGAGTGTTCTTTTAACTTATGTCATAATGAAAGAAAAGAATGCTGGCATTGCACTTTAGGGAAGAAAATGAAATATAACTTCTGATATTAACCTTATATTATCATAAACCAACGTTTTCCAAATTGCATTCTCCAAACAGTCAGACAGTCAATAAGTGCTCCATAAAAAATTATGAAACTGAGGTATGAGAACAGCAAAACATAGTCAGCTTTTGTGTTTTTAGCACATTTTAAAACAACTCTTGGAAGAAATTTTGAAAGAGCAAAAGCAAGCATAAAGCAAGATAGCATGATACCAGATTATTCAACATTGCCAACAAAATACATGCAGTAAACATTTTTGTTATTATTTCTGCTGTGTGTTTAGAAGTAAAGAAACAGTTCAGTGTTACTTTAGTATTTAAAAAGTTTTAGTTTTCTTTGGACTTTTCTTATCTTCTTTTTGAAATTGATATTTAAATGTAAAATTTTTATTAATACTACTAACTAGCAAGTGTAATAATGTTTTGCATTGTCAAAATACTATTGTTTTAAAAATTAATTAATTTGATAACTGATTTTGGCATAAAACAAAAATTTAAAGGTTAAACAAATATGGCACCATTAAACAAATGCTGATTAAGTTCATCAGAAGGATATCTGAACTTATCAGGACAAACTACTCATATTTTACTTTCTTTTACAAGAATATTTCTAAGAGACAGGTTTCTTGTGCTGCAACAAAATCCAAATACAGAAACCAGCTTGCTACTCCTTCTGTTAAAAGAATTCAGGCCACTAACATTGTGCTTTACATTAAAATAATTTGTCTTAGTTCCATTAATATATCAAAGACTCAGACACATCAAAGTCACTGGAAACTAAAAAGTAAAAAGGAAAAAAAATAATATTTGTTTCATTTAAATAGTTTTATATGTCTTTTTATGTAAAATTAAAAACTGAAAAACTCTTTATTTTTATATCATACTGTTTATTTTTATATCATACCTTTTTATAGGTATGATATAAAAATTGGAATAAATGTTTATTTTGTTTATCACCTTCACCTTAATATCTGTATTATGATTTATTGTAACTAAAAACCCAAGCTTATGTCTGTGTTATCATTTAGCATGTTTCCTTTTAACTTATATGTGTGTGTTAACTTATATTTGTGCTATTTTATATATATGTTATGTGATCATTTAATTTGTATCTGTCTTATCAGTTTAACTGAAAACCCAAATTTACTCTATTGATTCTTAAACATTTTATAATTTAAAAAGTATTCTGCAATGAGAAGTGTTTAGAAAACACTGCCTTAAATTGAAAAGTTTAGCTCTTTAATTAAAGAACTAGGAAAAGTTTTAATATTGTAGGCTGCAGAAATTAAAGACAGCTGGGCAGTTTGTTATAACAGACAAATATATGCTGCTTTTCTTAGGTATAAAATGCATTAAAATTTGACTATATAGTAGATGTTTAGTTCACCTTTCATTGCTCATTTTCCTGTGTGCAATGAGTAATTTTTTGTTTGTCAGTGCTATATACAAGAATTGCTTAGAGAAAACAAATGAATTTTTAATGGTAACTATTTTATTATTTGTTAGAGCATGACTGAGTTATTTAGACTGGATCAGATATGTCAAAAGGCTGAAAATTCCTTTACAAGAAAGTAACAAAATATTACATGTTAATAAAATTTAAACTTTTTCGAGTTACATGTGAAAAGAATGTAATTAAAAAAAAGTTTTAATTTATGTAGGAAAGTATTTTTTAGATCCTTGAAGAATTTGATCGTGTTTTTTAATAATATTGAAAACATTGAATGCCCCTAAAATTAAAACATAAATTTTCAAATTTTAATGTTATTCCTTCCTCTCTTCAATCTGGAATAAATTATGTTTGCTTATACAAATTTAATTTAAGCATTTAAAATTTACATTTATGAAAATAAACTAACTAAGGCAGTTTATCTTTTAGGATCATGCTCAAGAAATATATTCCCCCGTTTATGCTACATTTATGGTATGTTTATCTTAATGAATTTCATCAAATTTTCATTTTAAATAAATTACATTGCTATGCATATAAAAATGTAGTTTTTGTTATTTTTCTTTATAATCATAGAAAAGTGATAAATATATAGTATTGTGTATTTTCTTTTATTATTATTATTATTATTATTATTATTATTATTATTGGCATATCTAGAATTTAATTTTGGAGGGTGTAACTACCATCATAATATCAAAATTGCAGTTGCACAATTTTTCTTATTTGAATTTTGCTATTTAAAAAATTAATTTAATCCAAAAATATGTTGTGTTTGATTATATCAGGTTATTTAAAATGAAATCCGCTAAATTGCATTTGTATTATAATGTTATTAATAACAGAAGTTTAACAAAATTCCAATGAACAATATAAGAATGCTTACATTAAATTATAAGGGTCAAAGATATTCTTAAAAGCAGATTTTTAATTTACGCTAAATCATAATCTTAGATTCATTTTCATTTTTTAAGAATGTTTAAACCTTCTTTGATATTAAATCTTTATATATTAGTTAAATCTTTGTAAAGTTAAATGCACATCAGTTGACATCAGTATTATTTTTCAGATCATAAAATATTTGCTCCCTATTTGGGTGATGCTGTTGGTATTTTATCCAACTAGAGGATGCTTATCAAGTGAAGATGAGAGACTTCTTGGATGGTCAGGAGATGGTGTAAGTTATGTACACACATTTTTTTTAAAGTTGTTATTAAAATTATCTGAGTGTCAATACTATATAAAATTCTCAATTACTTCTAACAAGGTATATGATTACTTTTTATACAAAAAGTATTTTAATTTTTTAAATAATTTATATTATGACTTTCCCAGAAATCAACTTTCTATAACAGAAATAATCTAGTGTGCTAGTCATATACTCTTGAAAAACACATATATCATGTATTTACATAGAAAACACAAAACAGAAAATACATATTAACATGCGGTGTACTATCAGCCTAAATACATTCAAACAGCGGTCTGACTTGACATATGTGTGCTTGTGCATATCTATTTAACTTTTTCGCGACTGAAATAACCGAGACAGCCTCTCATTCAAACGACCACAACCGTCCAAAAAGGCCGAGACTGTGATCTTGTTCTCTTCTCTTCCCTTAAGGTATGCAGTTGCGGGTGCAGTTTGCCCAAGTGCATAATATCAGTTTATTACAGACAACTTGTCCTAAAAGGATTAGTTTGTGGTTTCTTATCTATATTTGTCAGGAAGTAAAGAGGATGTCATTTGAAATCTTCACACCTCTTTGTGCGTTAATGGTTGGGGAGGGGAGGAAAATTCTGTGAATCTCGAAAGGCATGTCATGCATTTTGGTATTTTAAGCATACAGGTTAGTGAAGGCTTCAATTTTCTAAGAGTTAAGCATATCGCTTCAACTCATAGATGCTATTCAGTCAGATCTGAATCATTGAATAATTGCATAGAGTTCCCTGTTTTGGTGTGTTTCACTATGTATTCTAATGGAAAAGTTTCAATGTACTAAAATGAAAACTTTTTATTTTGGATGATTGAAAGAGAAAAGGAGTTATATTGTTATCAGAAGCAGGATTTCACAAAAAAAAACCTTGAATACCCACTCATTTTTCAAAATTATTCTGCTAAAATTCAGAGTTGCAGAAGAAACAATATAATCAGATTTTGAATGCTTACTTGAGCTTTTCTCTTAAGCATATTCAGTACAGAAAATAAGAGAGAAAATGTTTTGATTGTGACATGCATTTAGTCACATCAGATAGCTAGTCCTATGAGTATCATGTTAAGGATAAAGTATCTGTAGCTGGTTAATGATTACAAGCACAGTTGATAAAATATCTGTACACAGAACAGGAAAGGTCTGGATTTGACAGGCAGTTGAGGCCAAATCTTTATAGTGATTCTTAGCTGGGAAACCTATGTCATTAATGCATTGATTTGTATGAATCCTACTTCAGATAGAAGTGGAAGGGAGTGAAAAGCATACCCATTAACCGTTAGTTATAATCTAGCTACATTAGTCTTATATGGAGTAGAAATTTTGAGTTCTGTCCTCAGGTGAAGGGGAACAGATGTGATGTGAACTGTGGAAGCCAATTCTAAATTTTGAAAATTGTCACAAATTTGTAAAATAGCTAAAAAATAAAAGATCTAGAGCAGGTTTATGACAGAAATGTAATTGCTTTCGAGAATGGCATAACATGTTAAAGGTTGTTTGTTCTAAACAGTATATGAAATGAAAAGCAACAGATGCTTTTCATTTCATATACTGTTTAGATGCAACTTCAATAGCTAAATGGAAAGAGGCAAATTAGCCTCTTGGCTGCATGTTTTGAAGTTTTGTAAATAAAGGCATTCAGAACTAACTATAAGTAAATTTCATGTGGCTATTTTTTACTTCTTATTTTATTCCATCATGTGCTATAGCATAAAAACCATCAGAGCAAATACTGAAAAAATTCATAACTTAGCAAATCTGATGTAGATTTTGCATTTAGAGTTCTAGATTTCTATAAAACTGTTGTATATTTTTAAAAATGCCTTTGTATCCCTGAATTTTAGAGCTTTGTGTATATAATTTTTCCGTACCCTCTGATTGAATTTTGTCAAAATGATTATTTCGGATTAATGCATTTTTACATAAATTATACTAGCATTGTTTAATAAAAATCTCTGAGACTATATCTATAAAAGTTGATGACAAAAATAGCTTACAATAAGTCTTAGAGAGCAGATTTGTATACATTGAATACCATTTTTTCCCTCAACTGGTAGTGAATAATTTAGTATCGATGTGGAAGCTGCTGTGAGATTCCCAAGAAATATAAATTGTACAGTATGAAGGTTACCTCTATCTGATGTTTCCATGTTTTCAGGTCAGTTTATAGATGATGAAATATAGTAATATTTCTTCTGTTCAGTGCATGGGAAATGCAGACTTGTATAATTACTGTGCTTTGTGGCAGCTCTGGAGATATCTAGCTGTATAAATCTCAAACCATATATACTTATTTAGTATATATCAACCTTGATCCAGAGGATCCTAAGAGGTTGGCTGTTTGTTTTTATGTTTGTGGTTTTCCCCAGGTTTATAAATATGAGCTAATTTTCCTTTGATTTTCCTTTGAAAATCTTCCATGAAGCTATTTCTAAGCAGATAGCCTTAAATATGCTTTACTGTAATTACTTAACCAATCAATATATGTCAGTTTAATTCAGAAGTCAAACAACAAAAATCAGCATTATATTTTCAAAATTTTCACAGGACTAGTTTCAATGGTTTTACCGAACCACCAACTCTTAATCATCGAAACTAGTCCTGTGAAAATTTTGAAAATATAACACTGATTTTTGTTGTTTGACTTCTGAATTAGTTTTGCAGTTTCGTAGCTGAGGATGGTGGTTCGGTAAAACCATTGAAACTAGTCCTGTGAAAATTTTGAAAATATAATGCTGATTTTTGTTGTTTGACTTCTGAATTAGTATTTATTCGGCGTGTTATTGTGTCTTAATTATATGTCAGTCTGTTTGTTTTTAAAGAAGCTTTCCTAAATTAGAAGTTTATAAATATGTATGAAATAAAGCCCATTAGCATACTTAAATGTTTTCAAGCATGTATTTTCAAAACTGTATAAGATCTTAGATTACAGTATGAGAGGAGAATTAATATTTATCTGTAGGTTCAATTTTGTTTTACATCTGTATTATTAAATAACAGTGTTTTATTGGGGGGAGTATATGTGCATATGCTTGAAAAATATTCTTTCTTGAGTATTCTAACTATTATGATTTTTCTAGTCAACTACATCCATGTTCAGCCCTGGTACAAGAAATCAAGAATGTTATAAACAACTTGTGCTACCAGTGGAGAATGGAATAGGTAATGAATATCCTACAATACGACGATCTGCTTCATCACCAGGTAATTATTTGTTAAAGTAATTTTAAAAACCAAAACTCTTATTCTAAATCTTATCTGTATAAGAATGCATTTTTGGTATGCTCAGAAATGGACAACAGATTTCATAAATTAATCATTCATCTTTCAGTGTTTAATACAGAATACATGTTTATTTCCAAGAAAAGTGCCAATGACTTAATTATCAGTAATTAAAGGATATCATATATAAAATTAGTGAACAAAAATTAAAATAACTTGCTCAAAGGAAACAGTAGGCAACATAAAGCAGTAAGAGCTACCATTATTTAACATAAGAGGCAGATAAAAGGTGTTCTTAAAGTACTTCAAAAGTATGCAATCTATGGCTGTATATAATTATTTTAGTTACTTACTGTTGCATAGTATGTACTTGTGGAAATCTTGAATTATTAGGCTATATGAACATTGAGACTTGAATCTTAATCGAGAAAAATAGCAGCTTTTACAGGTAAAATAAAGAGCTATAAATTGCCTAAGAAGAAAAATAGAAATGTTGTGAAAATATCTTTACACACGAGGATGCAGATCACCAAAATTGCTCATGAAGCAAAGTCTAAAGCAGTAAAAGCTCAACAATGTAAAAAGTGCTACCAGTGGTAATGTAAAAAGAGTCTCAATTCAACTGACTTATGGCTGCTCACACTCTCCTTACTTAGCTTCCTAGATTTATTGAGAGGAAGGGGAGCACTTCTGGAATCTTCCTCAAAACTTACTGTGGAGAGTTCTAATATGTATTTTCAGAAGTTTGTCTAGCTGGGAGAAATTGTCAGAGGTCATCAAGGAGAGTTACTACTCATATCATCAATTGTATTTGAGCTATCTTTGTAAATCCAGCGCTTAAAAGGCAAATTTTATGCAACATATTACATGACATAAACACTTCCAAACATGTAAGTAACTGCAAATTCAGATTTAAATAAAATGCATAACAAATAAATGTAAAATCATCAAACAAACCAACCCCACCTCCCCAAAAAAACAGCAGTACAAAAAAGTATTTAAAAAAACCAATTTACAAAACAGACAAATTCAAATACAATAATATAGCCATGTCTATGGATTATATTTTCCAAGAAATGTTATGGGTGCATGAAACTGCAGATAATATCGAGCATAGGATATTGGTGTAACACACAATCAAGTTTAATTCATAAATTACAGAAATAAGACTCTACCAATATTAAATAAACTAATCTGCACACTACAATAATTTATAGTAAACTGTGCTGTTAAATAAAATTTGTAGTGTAAAATAATATTGTATACTACTAATACCAGTGAAAATAAGAAACACTAACATTTTGAGTTGATCATGAAAGGCAGGTGAGAAATAAAGAAATGTACTAGTTTTTATACTATACAATATATTATATATATGGTACAGTCAAAAGTCGTTAATCCGGACTCGTCGGGACTTCGGCGATTCCGGATTATTGATTATCCCGTATTATAGATCATCAGTTTAAATCTGGTAAGATGGCATGCAGAAATTATAAAATTAAAAATATGAAACCGTATTTTATGAAATAAAGAACAATTATGATCTAAATAGTATCAAAATTTACAAAAGGAAAAAGCTTAATATTTATTTGCTTACTTTATTAAACATTTCTTTCAATGTAAGTTGTTTAAGTTGCTTCGTTTCATGTGATAATACTTTCTTTTTAATTCTATAAACAGACATAATTTCTTGTTCAGTTACTAAGTTCTGCTGTTCAAGTCCTATAATTGCTGTGTCGAGAATACCGACTAATTTGTCAATCGAAATTCTTTCATTTTCAAAGTTTCTTCGCTATCGGAAGCGAATTATAATGATGAGGAATTTGATTTAAATCATATCAAAGACGGTGTACATCGAGATGAAATACTACATTTAGTAAGGAATTATAAGCCAAATAAAATAAAAACATCTGCCCTGAAGATAAGGATAGTGCTGACAGATCAACTTCCAGTTCATTGCGCGCCACGATGTCCCCCCCCCACACACACACACGCAGAGCAACGTGAAATTATTAAACATATTTCGGAATGGTTAGATAAACAAATCCATTATCCTTTATCCATTTTTTGCAGCAATTCCACTTTTTGCTTAATGGACTTCGAAACATACTTTCGCTTTGTAGATCCTTTACATATTAGTAAATATATATCAGAAATTCTGTTTGACATAATCGAAAAGTTCAAGCTTACTTTTATAAAATTGCTCTAACAGTCTGCAAAAAATAATAAGCCGGATCTAATTCGAAGATTAAGGAACAACGCAATCTGCAACATTAACTGAATTAGATAATTTTAGCTTAGCTTATACCGTCTGTTATACATTAAACGCGCATTCGTAAACATATTTTGCACATGCGCACACGCATATTCGCAGCCGTAAAAGTCACTCACGCGCATGCGTCAAAGCAACGCATGCGCAGAAAGTTTGTAGCTTTGAGGTCCATATTATAGATCATTCCGGATTATGGGTGTCCGAATTAACGACTTTTGACTGTACTAATAATATTTCAAATGGTTACAGAAATAATAATAATTAGTTTTCTTAGGTCTAATAGCTCACCACTAATTCTGAAGCATTTGTTGGACCTCATGTTTTATGTTTTGGGCTCCTTTTTTGTGGTAAATGTAGAAAGATGTAGCAATGTGTCCCAAATGAAACTAGGATGATCATTAGAAGCAAGAGTGGAAAAAAGTTTGAAATGTTTTAACCGCCAAATACTCTGATCACTAAGAGCTGCAATTCTCTACGAATATAGTTACAATCATCAAGTTGGGAAAAGCTCAGTATTTAAGGAGTTTCTTATAATGTAAAAATATACATGTAAGGTTTGAGTGAACATTTCCATGCCCCAAAATGAATGTGGGGATGCTGGAAAGACTGTGTTGGACGTATGCGAGATATGTTTCAGCTATTCTCTGGACTCTTGTCATTTCACTAATATTTTGAAACTTTCAGCTTACAAAATTAAAGCAAATTATATTTTTTTCTACTGGTGCTCTGACTGAAGCTATGAGGGCAAAAAAAATTTACAACAATGCTATAATATTTATATACTGTATCCAAAAGCTTCTCCCCCCCCATTAGTTTAAACTTCCATGCTTCATACATAAAAAGTACAGTTCTGATTTCAAAACATACAGTCAAAAGTCGTTAATTCGGACACCCATAATCCGGAATGATCTATAATCCGGACCTCAAAGCTAAAAACTTTCTGCGCATGCGCCGCGTTGACACATGTGCATTGGCATTTACGCGTGCGCATAAGACCTTTACGCGCATGCGCATATGCGTGTGCGCAAGTGCAGAATACGTTTTCGCGTGCGCGTTTAACGTATAACGGACGGTATAAGCTAAAATTATACAATTATCTATTTCAGTTAATGTTGATGCTTGCGTTATTCCTTAATCTTCGAATTGGATGCAGCTTATTATTTTTTGCAGACTGTAAGAGCAATTTTATAAAGTAAACTTGAACTTTCGATTATGTCAATTTCCGATTCTGGAGATCCCAAAGGATCTACAAAACGAAAGTATGTCTCGATGTCCGTCAAACAAAAAGTGGAATTGCTGCAAAAAATGGATAAAGATATGAAGAAGATGACAGAGAGGTTAGTGAAAATGAAAAAATTTCGATTGACAAGTTAGTCAGTATTCTCGGCACAGCAATTACGGGACTTGAACAGCGGAGCTCTTTAACTGAACAAGAAATTATGTCTGTTTATAGAATTAAAGAGAAAGTGTTATCACATAAAACGAAACAACTTACATTGAAATAAATGTTTAATAAAGTAAACAAATAAATATTAAGCTTCTTTTTTTGTAAATTTTGATACCCTTTAGATCATAATTGTTCTTTATTTCCTAAAATACGGTTTCATATTTTTAATTTTAGAATTTTTGCATGCCATCTTACGAGATTTAAAGTGATGATCTATAATCCAGAATCGCCGAAGCCCCGATGAGTCCGGATTAACGACTTTTGACTGTACTAATAAATCAGTGTGAGCTATATCTTTAATTACTTATAGCTTGTGAGAAAAAAAAAAAAAAACTTTGTTGGCACCTTTCAGAAATTGGCCTCATGGGCAGTTGTCTGTGCTTTGAGCCAGATTGAGCCCATATGATATATACAAAATCATTTTTATCTGTCTGAAACTTGAATAGCTTCAAAATGTGAATCTTGTAAATCTTTCTTGATTTCAGAAAAATAAATCAAAAGATTTTCATTTTTAAAAGGAGACTTAAATTATGTGAATATTACTGCATATGCAATGAAGATTTTGGAAAACAAATATTTAAATGTGTTAAGTAGAAATACTGTTAAAAAGCAAAACTGAAAAAGAGACAAAAATATTCTAAGTAATTTAAAATTAAAGGAAAATTAGCACTGAATTTGAAGTCTACATTTTACAATACCATAATTCAGATATTAAGTTGCACTGCATTGATATCAGAGGTTGTCATTTCTGCATATGGAGGGTTCAGTTAAAATATTTATTGGTCTCTGTGGTCCATACATTTTTTTTTTTTTTTTTTATTTAACCAGTGTTTAAGTAACAATATAAAGATTGCACATAAGAGATTCAAAGTGACATTTTTGAATAAATTATTTATGTCCTTGAAATGTAATGCAAATAAGTTCTCCAAATTTTAAATGATCATGATGATGTCTTCAAATTCTGAAGATCATCATTAGTCAGTCAGCTTTTGTGTAACACTTCCATTGTTTTCATGTTTGATATTCTGCTTTTCATTTAATATATTTCATGTATATGAGTTTCCAAGTACAGATGCAGTTCTCTGACTAAAGCTTTATAATTCAAGCTTCCCCCCCCCCTCCCCAGATACGTGTTTCCAAAGAGGCTCAGAAAATGTTACATTCCATTGGTTCATCAAATAAAAATGTGAAATTTTATATACACATCAAAAAAATGTTTGGATAATTATAATAAAAGAAAAAAAAATTTTAACATCTTCCTTCTTGCAGAAATTGAGGTCATCAAACATGCTTTTTGAATATTTGTTGTTAAATTTAAGTTATACCTTTAATTGCCCTTTTTCTCAATTCTCAAGGTGCAGTTTTGATTGTTATCTTCTGTGCAATCAATGAATCCTTTCAAGTAAAAGAGTTAGAAGCTCTTATCAATGAAATAATTTCTGGCATTATTTTCTCCAAAATACCTGGTACTGTATTGTTATTGTTTAGCTGACTTACTGTACTTCTCTTTATGTTCCTCTGGAGAATCAATGAATATTTACCATTTGGTGAAGTGTAAAACTCTACTTCATGTTTATGATTATTATCATTACAACTTTTACTGTAGGGTTAATTTTTATTGGGCTCCAAGAAGGCATATGGCTGATGTAGCTGATACTTTGTTATAGGGGCAGAGGGACTTCTTTGAACCATGGGAAAAGATCCACAGATTGCATGTCTGGTACTCTACCTAACAATCTCTGATTTATGTAATAAGAATTACTTAAGAGGAATTCATTATTTTACTGGAAATAGGAAATAAAAAGTTTGATGTTTTTGCAATTTAGCCTTCTTCTCCAAACCACCATTGACTCCCATAACTGAAGAAGAGCCGATCTTGCCTCCACTTCGTGTTCCTTATGAAAATTATGGTGCTGTTGATCCTTACTATGCAGTGGCAGGACCTGTGGTCACACGAGGCTCTAGGACAAGATTGCGTCATGATACAGAATGGTCTTCGAAAGGATCAAAGGGCAAGAAAACAAAACATCCAGTTTCTCTCAATCAGTGCTCAGATGAAATAGAAAATGTTGCTTCATCATCTGGAGAAAGAGCTTAAAACTCATCAAAAGGATACTTTATAGTGATATTTACATGCAGAAAATAGAAATTTGATTTTTTTAAATTAGAAAAATATTTAAATGCATTTTCTTATTGGTATAAATAAGAAAGTGTTTAAACTGTATATAAAGTGATTGCATTTACATAAACATAAATGCAAATGCATATAAATCAATCTCTTGAAATTTCAAAGTATTTCTTAATTAATCTTAGTATTTATATATTGCATGCAGTATTTTCTTGTACATTTTTAAATGTAAATGTATGTGTATATTCTATGTGTTAAATAATTTTATTAAGATATTGACAAGCTGACTTTATTGTCTGCAGTATATTAAGTGTAAAACAATTTATCTTTCATTTAGTGAAAGATAGTGATAATAGTATCAGAATCTGACATAGTTAATGATTATTAATTAATGTCTTCCTGAATGTTCCTTAAAACATAAAACTTTGGCTTGTGGAAATGTTTTTCATTTTTTAGCTTTCAGGATACATGCAGGTTGAATACCCCTTATCCAAAAATGCATGCTTCCAAGAATATTTTAGAAATCCGTAGTTTAGTTTGTTGAAAAGATAATGAGAAGCAGAACCAGCAGCCTGATTGTACGTGAGCTAATTTAGCATTGGAAGATGTAAAGAAAGGTTCATAAGTTGTGAAAAGTGAAGTTCATTGGAAAATTTAAATGAATTTTTTATGGAAAATGTTTAACTTATCCTACATAAAATTCAATATACTTATTAGGATTATTACAGATGGTTCCTATTTAAAGGGAAAAATGCCTTTGTGGAAAATTTCAGAAAACCTGGCTCGTGCTCATGTAATGCATGAGAAAATCCACTTCTCTAGAATTTGAACCCAAGCTGAACTACTACTAATGTTTAATGATCTCATTGCTCAGCCACTGATGGGCCTACATACATATAATATATCAGATTACAAATTCTAAAAATTCTGCTTTGCTGAAACTTATGGGAAATCATATAGATTAACAGACAGCTTTTTTAAGCCAGATGGCCAGGTACATACAACTTAATGCATTCATTGGATGGGCTGTAGCCGTCTCATTACCGAGAGCAGTTGCCTAGGGAGCAATTGATATTACAGACATTGAGAAGGGAGGGCAAGACACTCATAAACAATTAAGCCTTTCATGGAATTCAAACCCATGCTGTGAAATTTGGACTAGCAGTTAGTCTCCATGAACCACTAACCATTCAGGATGACTCCTCATGCAATCTTTTTTAAACTGGAAACTTTCTTTTTGGGTATAAAATTAGAAAGTATGTTTAACACCATTTGAATTATCCTCTTTTGCCAAGACTATAGGTATTTTTTGTCTGAGGGAGTGTATAATAAAAGAGGAATACTACTCAAAAACTGGCCTGAATTAGATGATTTTTAAATACTGCAGAGAGTAAGTTTTATACTGTTACAAAAATCTACATGCTGTTAAACGATTACTACAAATTTTAGAATAATTTGGATTTGGGTTACTCAACTTGTATTAGCTTATGAAAAAAAATAATTCATCATATTGAACTGTTAAAATGTAAGATGTAAAAAGGTTTGAACATTTTCAATGCATTTCCAAAAGTAAAATGTTAAGTATCAGTAAGGGCTTTTACCTAAATCTTCTTAATTATTATACCTTAAAATTGTTCTTCAATGTATATATGTCTTAAACATTTCATAGTACTAATGTCGGTAAAACTGCAGAAGGTCTTAAGCAGTGATAAATAAGTTCAAGGCAAGCATTCAGCATAATGCTCAGTATTTAAGTCATAGTTATGCCTCTTTTATTGTAGCATTGCTATTAAATATAAAAATAGAGGCAATGCTTTATAATTAGGCCTGAAATGAACATGTAGTATGCTGAAAATGTAAGACCATGTAAGTAAAATCAAAATATTTAGATATTATGAGAAAACATTATGTGTGTGTGTGTATATATATATATATAACAGTAAATTTAAAACATGGTTATAACATATTGAATGAAAAGTCACAAACAAAAATAGAAAAAACAAAATATGTGATACAGCAAAAAATATATGGCAGAGTCATATGTATGTTGGCTCATAAAATAAAGCAGACACCATTCAAATATTTTTTATAATTAGACTTAAATCATTAGAACAATTTTAACTGTAGAAAGAAAAAAAATGAAATGAATTATTGTCAACTCTTCAGCATCTTTATAATGTTTTTCAAATCATAGCAATATGCTATTTACCTGTTAATTTTTTTAGTATGAGTAGTCCACTTCTCTAGAAGTGGACTTTTTTTAGTATAAGTAAAACTCTTAACAAAATAACTTATAGTAGCATATAACAATTAGCTACCATGAGCTAGTTTCATAATTGTTTTTAACTATCAATATTGTGATTATTTATGTTCCAATAACCCCTTTCCATGAATATATAAGAAGCAGTATCAAAGCTTGGATGATAGCAGAGGAGCTGTCACACAAGCTCATAAGCACAAAGTGCAAAGTCTATATTTTTTGTTTATTGTCGTTTTTTTACCATATTACAAGAATCTCTCTCCATTCTTTTAATGGAATCGCATGCTGTGACTATAAATTGTCATAAAAAAATAGGTCCACAGTTTTAAATTCTTTGAGAAGCATATTTCATTAAGTAAAATGCAGTTCATATTTGAATGTTTACTATCCTAGTTACAACTAAACAGCAAGTTGATTCAAAGAGTATGTTTCTTCCTTTGAAAAATCCTCTACAGTGCCTTGAATTCCATAGCAATATCCTGATCTTAATTACTACTAATATACTATATTTGTCACATTTGATTGTTTTGCTTACTCTTTATTTTACTTAACTTATGTTGGAATCATAAGCTAATGTTTTATATGTGTATTTTTAGAATGCATATGAGTTGTTTATGAGTGTACTTTGTTAATTACTCAAATTATATTTATGGAATAGAGTGCAGCCATTTATAAGTAATGACTACTTAATTTTGTAATTTTGTTCTTTGAAAGTGACTGAGTTAAATTGCATATACAATAGATACTGCTTAATGTGATCTCGCTTGTTCTTATAATTCGATTATTTCCAAAGTCCCACCCATTTATATATGGAAAACATGGAAAATGCATCACTTATTGTGATCATTTCGATTAATATGATCAAAATATTATAGAACACACTTTCTAAATTTAAAAAAAATCGCTAAATGAAAGATAAAGTTGCCAAATAAATTCAAAATAGATTTTAAATTTGACAGCTAATGGAGAAATGTCACCTAGTAAGGGATTAAGTTGCCAAAAAGCTTGATTTCAATTTTAATCAACTGTTTAAAATTAGGCAAAAAATAAATATAGTTTAACATCGATTTTTAATAAATCTATCGATTAATCAGAATGATTAGACCAAAACCAATTTTCTGCAGAAGTGGTCCCCCCCCCACACACACACATGAAAACATATGAGAAACTAAAGTTTCTTTTCTGTTTTGCATAATTTTTAATTTTGCATTAGCATGTTCTCATCCAATGAGGGATTCACTAAGATCAGGGTTGCAGTATCAATGAAATAATTTCTTGTTCATAAATTAACTTTTGTGTCAACAGTTACAGCAACCAATTATTAATGACTTTATTCCTAATTAACAGGCTACAATACATGTTTATAATCATAGTTACATTAAATTAGTAAAATTTCATTAATATTTTGAGGCATGTATTTTTTATTACTTAATGCTACCATTCAGTAAATGTTATCAAAATAAGCATGGATAAGCAGGATTCATATTAAGCAGTGCGTACTAAGCATGCAAAAACATTTTGTTAATAAATATTACTAATGCATACGAGAATCCTCTTTTGTTTCAGAGGTGAAATATTTCTCTTAATCTTGATAAATATGTAGTTATATTTTGATAATTTTCTTTCAGTTATGTTTTGGAGCCAAAGTTTGTATTGTATAAATTTAAGTAATAATGTATGTGTTCTGCAATCATGGCCAAAAACTTAATATAGTTTAATAGCAATTCCATAATTTAGTGTTGTTGCTTGAAATTTGTTTTTATGTTATTAAAAAATAATTTTCATAAGCACAAACTGAAAAGAAAGAAAAAATAAAATAAAAAAATTTTGAAAAAGCCGATAAAACTAAAATCTATCTTTTTCATTCAAAAATGAAAAAATAAATACTTCTGATGAGTAATCGTAATTAATCAACATTTAAAATTCATGTTTTGTGTATGACCATTTTTTCTGGAAATTTTGTACACTGAGAATTTTTTCATCCAAAAATTTATTCAGACTCTTTTTAAAAAATCATAAAATAATATTACATTTTATATCACATTTGTTCAAAAATGAGACCCTTCTATATAAGTATAACTTTTTTAACAAATGTTTTTGGTGTCAAAACAAATATGCAAAAATTTACTTTCTACAGTTTCTTACAAGAGCATAAAATCATGAATCTGAAATTACAAAAGTATGTAAAATTTTTTAGAAAGTGCAAAAGTAAAAAATCTTTTAAAAAAAGTTTATTGTGATTTCAAAATGGAGTAGATTTATTGTGTTACTGTTATTAGTTGAAAATGTATTGAAGAACAAAAATAAGCAGTTTTCATAAGTTGCAACATGAAATTATTCATGTGCTGTACTGTACAATAACTGCACACTGTGCTGTACAATAATTGTTTTGTTATCATAATTTTAAATATATTTGTTTTTCTTTTCCGTTAAAGTTACTTGGAAAAATCACATTTTATGTAGACGTAATAAGAAATCTTGTTGATAATAAAATAAGTGTTGTAGTTTCAGTACTTTCCCTCTTAATTTAATAAATTCAAAATATTGTATAAATTGTAAAAGTAAGCAAAATTCTGTTTTATATAGATTGAAAAGCTCTTCACAATGAAGAGAGATGTATCATTATTACCATTAAACACACCGAAATGTTCTGCAGAAGAGAAATTTTGTCTAAATTAAACACTGAAATGCCTATATTATCTTTGAATAAATTAGCTGCATGATAAAATGGTGTGAATTTTTATTTTTTTTTCCCTTATATATATGCTGTGATATGGCTTGAATGGTTTTATATTAGTCAAAGTACTTTAGTTTTTTTTTTTTTTTTTTTTTCTTCCCCAATTTCTTCTGTCCTGCTCTAATGTATATATATCCATGTATATTTATTTTTTTATTGAGACTGAACTATTATTTGATAACATGCTATGGTTTTTACACATTGTATTATGATTATTGCATACTAAAATTGTTATATATAGTTTAATCATGAATAGTTTTATTTTCAGTTATTTTTTAGAAAGGCTATTTATGTATTTCACACAAGTCGTTCTGAGAAATGTATATTTTGGCAGTTTTTGTTTCAAATAAACAGATAATTTTGTGAAGCTATTTTTCTAATAGTTTTCTTCTGTTTGCAATGAATGAACATTTTGTTATACTGAACATTACATGAAGCTGTAGACAGTGGTGGATATTTCCTGCAAAATATTTCGAACATGTCTTAAATTTTAACCAAAAAGGATATTTATTTTACATTTATAAAATTTAAATATAAATTATAAGTGGGAAGTAATTGGTAATTATCACACCGCAGACTATCGATCAGAACAAATGTAGGTGGTAATTTAGGTTGATTTAATTTGCATGACATAAATTTTTACAGCTTTAATTGCACTGTAAAATCTTTATTATTATTATTATTTTAAAGATGCTGAATTTGAAGAAATTTGTTTCTTTTTTATGTAAGAAATATAATCATAAACTAGTAGTGAAGTAGTTCACTCAGCAGTAAAGTTATTTTACTATTTTTGGCAACATATTATTGATGAACCCTTCAGAAAATTTTGGGGGGAAATATAAATTATTTATCTTAAAGCAAATTACCGTGAGGAGTTGTAGAAATTTTAAGCCAAATAAATTTCCTGTTTCATTAAAGAGATTGGTGTTAGCTAAAAGACATCACAGTATCCTTAAAAATATTATTAACCACATCAGAAATGTTCTTTTGTTGAACTTCTGGAATATTTAAAGAGAAGTATTTTTCTTATTCTAAAGTTTGTTATTAGAAGATTATAAAAAGAGAGATAGAGAACGATATGATGTAACGTGTTAAAATTTTTTTCTCTTAAAACTATAAATACATCTACGGTAGCTTGGCTGTATGTACAGAAATGCAGCAGCTTGAAGGGGGACAGAGTCTACAATATCTCTGAGTTGCTGGGAACTGAAATCAAAATTGAGACTTTCAGAGGCAAGAAAGACCCTTTGCAATATCTGTCAGTGCATTTTCCGCAGCTCTGAAGTCTTCTGTCAATCAAATCATTTACTCTATGGGACCATAGCAAGCCAAGGAATGCCTCAAACTATTGGATGAACCCATGAAGTTTACCATCTATTCTGAATTTCCATGGTTCCAGCTGGAGATCTTGTTTGCACTCCCAAAATTAAGGACAACCAACTATGCAAACGTAAAGCGGAGTTCTTAAGTGTAGATCAGTCTGACCATTGATCCCTCCAAATATCAACTCAGAAGCTTAATGCTTTCAAAATTTATATTTTCAGATCGGTTGTTGTGTTCATGATTGCAAGTTATTTCCATCCCGAAGTTGCACACTCCAATGTATTTTTGGTGTGCAACAGGCTGCTATCCAAATTTAATGGAGGAGAAGCGTTTTCAACTATAAATGTCTCATTTTGGCTATAATCCAAATTTTAAATCAGCCTAGTTGTTTTACTTACTTATTATATTCCAGTCTTTTAAAGAGAAACTGACCCGTATCCACGTTACACATGGGGAAAATCCTATGCAGTCAGCCTGTTCACCGGGACTCAAAACCCTAACCGATCTACCAATGTTCAGCTGCTTTTACCACTCGGCCGGTGTTGAGCAACATAATTTAAGTATTAAACAGCAAAATCCACTTTTATCTATTAAAACCTCTCTGCCTTAGCTATGAATAGCTTCATCTATCCATGTAGCATTTACATTTTTGAGAGCTATATCTCTGCAATTTTCTGATTTCCCAATACATTAAATTTCTGTACCTTTCAGAGGCTTGAATTCTCTCAACTCTGTTTCTGGAATGCCAGTTGCATTATGTCAAAGCTGAACTCGGATATGTGAGTTTAAAAAGGAATTTAATATCTTACTTTTGTAAGAGATCAGTCTCCAAATAGTATATATATAGTATATATGTGTATGTGAGAGAGAGAGTAACAGTTCAGTCTTTTTCCATTTTTCAAAAATCGTTTAAAATTGAAGCAGGTTAAAACATAGATAAACTTTAAGCACAGAGTACTAAATTCTCTTGAGCAAATTAATCGTTCTAAGAACTAAACATTCGTTATCTAAGTCCGTTATAATTGTAAATGAGGGCATTCATGTTTCCCCCTCCCTAAATGAGTGCTGTTGCACATCGATAAAAATAATCTTTCCATAGCTCTGAATTAAAATATTTTAAGGGTTTATAGATTAGGAAACGAGAGATTTAAAAGACGAAAAAAAATCGCAAAGTTTAGAGTTTTCGAATCTTTTGAGTGTTTTCCAAGGTTCGTGAGATATGAGGACTTGATTGTCCCTAGTATTTGTTGTACCACATTTCTGAACTACGGATTTAGAAATGAGGTATATGTAACTTTGCAAGGACATATAATAACTCAAGAAATGTATAAAAGCCTGTCCATAAGGCAGATACGTTAAGTTTTGGTCATCCAACATTATTACAAATTGCAACACTAGATGGCACTATAAGTCAAACTGTTTGAATCAGATTCTAGATAGACAATGCTTTGAACTAACCATAGGCACTCCGTAACTTATAATAATTGGCAAAGAGCGTCTTCACTACTATATTGTACGTCAAAACAGAACTTACTGACTTTCAGCAGTTGATCTTTAAGTAGGGGATATAGTCTCATGGCAAATCCCCAGGCATAGCAGTTTTTTTTTCCCCCTATCCCGGAAATAAATGCATAAATTAAAAAAAAAAGAAAATTTTGCCGCCCCTCTTGATTCACAAACAAATGTCAAAACGACTTGCAGAGGAAAATAAATTAAAACTATACGTTTATTTTTGAAAATAAACTTTTAATTCCAACATTTTAAAATTATTTTGCTCCCCCTCCCCCCCCCCGTTTCTCCGTTCGTATACCATCCATAACATTATAAAGATCTATATGATTGCTGTTATACAGACGTAGAGAAAGATTTCTTGAATGCAAAATGTACATTTGTAGTTTTTAAATACTTAAATAATTTTTATTTGGAAAATGCTCTCCCTTATTAGCAGCACTTACAGCAATAAAATTTCGTACTAATATCATAATGTTCGGAACTTATTTTGGAGACTGAATTTTAGGATAAATTGTAAAAATTTAATGCATTTTAGAATAAACTGCGGAAAGACCGCCCTTTCAGGTTCCTCTTTCGATTTCTGTAGTAATTAGGAAATAAAATTCTGAAACACTTCTTTCTTAATAAGGAATTTTATGAATATCCCTATAATCATAATTTACATTCAAACGTTTCGACGAAATAAAAAAAATCTGATGTGTACACCACATGACTTCCTTGTACGGAATATTAAATTATACGCATTTTTTCTTGCATTTTATTTAAACTTATTAGATTGAATTAAACCTACTTCGCCGACAGCGCATAAACGACAATAGAATAAATGCATTCTTTAAAATTCACTTTGTTTACCATAGCGACGCTCTGGGCTAGGTTTACTTAACAGTATTATATTTCATTCATATTATAACTCAGAATGCACAAAATGTATATCATTTAAAGAATTATCTAATCGTTGCCACATGTTCCATTCAAATACTATAATAAAGCTAGAAGTATGTATAAAAGAAATTAAGCAAACAAAACAACAAAGAAACAGTTTTTCACAGACGATTGAGTATTTCTCATTTAATTAAATCAGTTCTCACTTCCCGAGAAGGCAAAAATACATAAAAACTCCAAATATCTATATTAAAAATTACGAAGTAAATTTCAAACGCTTATTTCCTCGAAAAAATTCCAGAAAGAATTAAGCATGATTTAATTGGCAATAATAAATGAATGCGTTATCTTTGTTGTTGCGAAGCTAAGTTTCTCTAGATTGGCAACAAATCCACTAGTCTCCTGTTTCAAATGTAAACATGAATGGCCGCCATTAAAAACAGGCTTAGCGGCAATTAAACAACTTTAAAATTGTTGATAATTCTAAAAATATTGCACACAGATTTACTAAAGGCATAAAATCCTTAACCGGAAGATAAAAACAACATAATTCAATCATTTTTAAAGCAAAAAAGTACAATTTACAAACATATAAGAGTAAAGAAACTGAGATCACTGAGCCGGGTAATAGAGTGGATATATATATAAATATATTTATATACGTTTGGTGCGGCCGATTGCAACCAAAATACGAGGTGCACATCTACATGTTATAGCAGTCCCTATATACAAAATTTCAACGTTCTTGGAGCTACTCGTTTTTGAGTTATGCGAGATACGTACAGACGCCACGAAAAATTCTCTTCAGAATTAATTTTAAAGCAGTTTTATAATTTTTTTTGGAAGAAAAGAGTATTATTCTGTCCTTACGTACAGATATTATGCAAAAACATCGTTAAATTGCATTCGATAGAGGTCAAAATGGATATTTTCGTTGAAATATGCTGCCTGAAACTTTTCGCGTTTATAATACTTCCTTTTTACTTCGTACAAGGATTTAAAAAAGTATTATATCAAATGTCAAAGTCAGTAGTGATTTCTTTGAATAGTTTTTAAAAATTGCTTTCTTCTTAATTAATTCCGTATGTCAATTTATAATCTAATTATTCTTTACCTGCCTCGGCAATCCATCTGACTAACCCCTGTAAAATAATATTTAAAGGGGAAAAAATGCCGCTCCAAAAATATGCCGCCTGAGGCGAAACGCCCCTCCCCCTTAGCTACGTTACTGGAAACTGATTATTTATATACATATATTTAAGATAAAGAGTAGGTAACATAAAATTCTGACTTATGCATGCAGAACCTCTTAAGACATCAATATAATTTGGTTACTTCCCCTTTTTGATTCTAAAAATACTATCATGATCACAATAAATCTTTCTGAACCGAGTCGTTTCATAATTAGTCTCATACGATTCTTAGATAACGTTCACAAACACATGTACTAACCGTAGGGTTTAATTTCGAAAACCTTAAAAGGCTCTCAAAAACCCTGAATAAATAAAGAAGTTATAAACAAAACAATGAGAGATTCAAATTGAAATACAAATCTAATAAAACATTAAGAAGAAATATGATAATAAATAATAATTAAATATGTCATAAAGGTGTAAAGCAGGGGTTTCCAAAGGGGTCGGTATTGATGCCCTGT